CGCTCGAGCGTGCCAGAGACAGATGGTTCTGTCACAAGGTGACGTCAAGACCGCCTTCCTCTCCAGCAGCATGGAAGGAGAGACGGTCTACATTGAACAGCCTGAGGGATTCAAGGAACCCGGGAAGGAGGACCATATCTGCCTATTGAACAGAGCAATCTACGGTCTCCATCAATCTCCTCGTCTGTTTTACCGGCACATCAGAAAGATCCTGGGTGGATTTGGGTTTTCATCAATCTCAGCGGACCAGTCGGTGTTTGTCAAGGACACTCCAGAGGGAAAGGTGCTACTTGGTCTATATGTGGATGATGCACTGGTAGCCGGAGACACCGACAGCTTGGTCCAGGAAACCAAAGCCTTGCTCAACACCAGGTTTGAGATGAAGTGGACGGATGATCCCAAGGTGTTACTGGGGATCGAGATCGAACAGGACCGGGAGAAGGGAACCATCACCCTATCTCAAAAGAAGTTTGCTCGGGAGATCCTGGAACAGTTCAATATGATTGACTGTCATCCCGTCAAGACTCCAGTGGAAGAGGTCATCAGCGCATTCCCACCTGAAGACCGACCACCACCTGATACCAGGTTTCCTTTCCGAGAGTTCATCGGAAAGGCGAATTATCTAGCTCGGGGGACACGACCGGATCTCTCCTTTGCAATCTCACACCTTGCATCATTCTGTTCGACCTACCAGGAGACACACTGGAAAGCATGTGAGCGAGTAATGAAGTACCTTCAGGGCACCATCGATGCCAGTCTTGTCTATCACCGAGACGGCAATCAGAAAATTGCGGGTTACTCGGATGCCGAGTATGCCGGAGACAAGGGAGATAGGAAATCTGTCGGGGCATATGTGTTCACATTGGCCAATGGACCGGTATCATGGCAGAGCAAGAAACAGACTACGGTAGCCTGGTCTAGCACGGAGGCCGAATACATCGCTCTTGGATCAGCTGGGAAAGAAGCGGTCTGGCTCTCGATCATGGATCAGGAACTAGGATTTCACGATGGTAAACCGGTCACCATCTTTGAGGACAACCAGCCAGCTATCGCATTGGCTAAGAATCCCACCAACCATGCTCGGACCAAACATATTGATGTTTTGCACCACGCTCTTAGGGGACTGATCGAGGACAAGAAGATCGAGGTCGAATACCTCAACACCAAAAAGATGATTGCGGATCTCCTTACCAAGCCGATCACCGGAAAGCAGCTCCAAGTACTTTGCGATGACATGAGTCTGAGGATCAATAGGACACCCACGCCAATATCGTCCACCTCTGAATAGAGGAGTCCGAGGGGAAGTGTAGAAAGTAAGCGCGCGCGCGTGATGATTACTGGGATTACTCTTCAGGATTACAGGTGGGTGATGCTTAGTCAGCATCACCTTGGGAGACTTGGGTGGTGCTTAGTCAGCATCACCTAAGTTGGGACCTCACCCCGGTGATGAAAATCTCGGACAACTAGATCATCAATATACATCACTTGACTGTTAGATCTCAAGCAATATCTTGAGTTCTAACAGGTCAGTACCTTTGTATTGGTTAATAGCACATGCCATTGATAAAGCAATATCTTGAGTTCTAACAATTTTCGCACCGGAGCGGATTTTTGAGCAAGGCCAAAACGAAACACCGGGTTGTCTCAAAAGGGACATCACACGCTCGAATTTTCAAGACACGAAGTCCTGATACATGTGATACACGATAATGGCGATGAGTAACAGAACGAACCATCAGCATTCCAGAGAAGGCGTCGCGCATCGAACGCGCGCGTTTCAGGTGAAACATCCCGTTGAATTGCCTCAGTCGTTTCGCAGATCGATGAGCGCGAAGGATGGGAAACAGAGAGCTACTTCGTACCCAAGTCAGAATTTTTTTGTGATTGATACCACCATCTTTCGCTCTCTTCATCCTGGGAAGAAGCTTTGACTTGACCGATTGAAACGCAGACCGGAATGCGTCAATCGTCGCGCGCGCCTGCTGATGATCAGTGTGATGAAATACACCTCGTCAGTAAAGCAGTTCAAAGTTTTTCTGTCACCAGGAGGATCTGGCTCACCTATCGTAGTGCAGCGAACACACGTTGTTTCGAGGTCGTATGGCTCCATCGATGTTGAGCTTCCACTTGCCACTTGTCACCAGAGGATTGATCAAATTGATTATTGATGATCGTTCTTTTGTTCTTTTTGATGGCCGTCATTGTTCTTTTTGATGCGGGGTGGATCGATCAAACTTGACGTCATTTTTGATCGCTTACGATGAAAGATCAGAAAAAGCGACAGCGGCGACAGCGAAGGAAGAAATCAACGAGGATGAGGGGGATTGCCGGCTCAAAGGATCTTGAATCTTTGGATCAGCTCGATATCTCGACGTTCAACGATACATTACGCCAGAAGAAACCGCATACCGTCCGTAGCGATCACTCCTTCCTGCTCATTTACTAGCTCGGACTAGCTGAAATCTAGCACGAACCTGCCACGGACCAGGCAGCGGCGTTCAGGAATCGATAAGATCCCCCCCAGATCTCAGACGACACTCGATCTAGCTACATCATCGATAGCTCTTAAACGTCACAATGACTCCCAGTACGGCTCCGCTACCACCCAACAACGAAGACACTTCGAAAGTCTCCACAGAAGGCGTTTCCGTTGTCACTGAAACCGCCGGCAGTCAAGTAGCCTCTAACAGCCTCTTGATGAGAACGATCTTCAGTACTCTCGAAGGAAAGGACTTGCTCAATTGGATGGTCGTATCCCGAGAGCATTTCCATTTGATCGCCGGGATCCTTTATCGATCTGTGCGTCATGCACATCTTACGCAACTTTGGCGCAAAGGCTGTAACATAGTAAGTCGCTGGTTCCGACCCCTCCCGCTCAAAGGTTCATCCCTAATAGCATTACCATAAATATAGAAGCGCTTTCAGACCTATGCGCAAGCAGTCAGAATCCTCATGATAGCCCATGAATGTGTCAACGACGAATACTTCATCACACTGCTGAACCAGTACGACGACTTGGCAGAGATTCACTGTAACCTTGACTACGAAGGCATACAGGTGGAAGAGCTCTACATATGGAATAATCGCGATATTATTGTGAGGGGCTGCGAGCCACCTGACTATCTGATGGAGTTCTGCCCAGTCCTGGTGCAAGAAGACTACGAAATAGAACGCCTTGAGATTCGCTCAATCGGTAGCAAAGAACAGTCACTGAGCGAGGAGGAAGGAGAGGTGCTTCTCGAGTGGATGATCTATTCGATTCGACACGGAAGCTATCATGAGATCACCTCGCTCAGAAACATCACGGGACTGGAATTGCCTTTCGTTAAGCTCGACCTGAAAAGCTTGAAAGCCATCCTTATCGGCTATCCCGAATTACGGACTTTGCGATGCTCACTCGACGATACAGCACCAAGCGATGACGAAAAGAAGGTGTATCGGAAGGAGCTGAAGCGACTCATTGCACAGCACGGAGCAAAGTTTCGGGAACTCGACCTTCGCTTTGCGAGCGGAAACTTGTTCTCCTGGCTCGGGATTCTGACCAGTCCGCGCACACTGCGTTTGTCGGGATGCATGGGAACAATCAATCCCATCTTTTACGAGCGCATGAGTACCCACACACATCGACCTCTCCAGGACGGTTCCATCATGCACTTAATCTTGAGACCGACCGATGTGGCAATAGGAAAGGTCAATCCTTACGAGGCAGCGAAGGCCGTTCGCTGGCTTATACCTCCCTATTGTACTATCCGCGTGGAGAACTCGATAGAGTTAGCTGTTCCCTCTACAAGATCTAGATTAGACGGGTGGATTGACGATTTCCGATCTATCCTGAAGACGCTTCAGACAGAAGATGACATCGAACGACGACGACGAAACGCTTCGGCGTCAAAGGGTTGGGTGAAGGTGGAGAATGCGCCCGGTGCCGGCGAGCTGCGGAATGCTGTTAGGAACGCCGACGTGAAGGATGCGCCAGATGGTGGCGACGTGAAAGCCGCGCCTGGTGGTGGTGAAGAAGAAAGTGTATCGACCGATAGCGGTGTCGACAGTACCGTTGGTGGTGGTGATGAACCAAGTCTCTGGTATGTCTCCTTCCCGAAGACAGACGTTCCAAGCAACCACCTAGCTGAGAGCAATTCACGACTTTCTAGATACGGAACATCAGGTCTGAGAGCTTTGGTAACACCTCTGGCGAACTTTCGACTTGTCCTACGCACATTTGAAAGAAGATATATCATACCGGTCAGGATGTCGGCATCTCGAAACCTTATGCGACTATGCACCACTACGTACGATCATACATGGCACATCGTTTGCAGATCGGCCGACTTTCCCCGCGCTTTTACGCTTTACGCACTTATTGCACTTGCGCGATCAGCGATGTCAGAACTCGACGAGATCGTGGCATATTGTCAGAACAATTCGTTCGGAATCCCGCCAAGAAAGGCAGTTGCAATCAAACATCCTATCGAGCGCACTCGACATAAATGTATAACATCTCTTTAATCATCCACACCTCGAGCTCGGATGACTTCTCAGTCTCACTGTCGTTGTCTCGAAGGTTGATACCCACGGGCATCATCGAATCCTATCCAAGATTTCCACATTATCTGTTCCAGATCAAATCGGATTTATGAAGCGCTCCAGCATTATTACGTCTTGCTTCTATTTTCTCTGAGGTTAAGCGTGCCTTGATGTTATTCTCTATCCTGGACTCAGAGTTGCACGGGAAAGAAATCCGACAAGGGTATTCATATAACGAGTTTGCAGCACCACGACTTTGCAACAAGTATCTTGTTCAGCCGATCGGGACGGGTGGTCGCGACTGTATAACGCATATGCGTTTTTACGTCTTGCTATCGACGATTGCCGACCTCATCTCCATATCGTAAGCTGTCTATGCTGTACACCATTCTACTGCTATACTGTCGATCGCACCGCCATACAATATCATTAGCACGCTTCTCCCGCAAGGTGAAATCGCTGAAGCAGACCTCAATATGGCTTCTGTCACCGCTGCCGAAGCAGGCCCTCCACAAGACCTCTTCGGCACCACCGAGACCGCAGCCAGCCGAGTTGCCGCAAACAGTCTCCTGATGTCCACAATTTTCGACTATGTGGACGAACCTCACACCTTGCTCGATTGTATGCTCATGAGCAGGGAGCAATTCCCGATCGCTGCACGTGCCTTATACCGGTCTGTTGAAGAGGACGATATATTGGCTCTGTGGAGGAGGGGCTGTAGTCTGGTAAGTCATATGGCATGATGCTACAATCTTCGAGACACGCTGCTGATAATCCTGCTCTTCCATACATAGAAGCGCTTCCAGCTTTACGTAGGAGCAGTCAGGATACTCCGACTGCATCGGATCGTTTGTGCCGATGAAGTGCAGCTCTATATGCAGCAATACGAGGCTTTACAACATATTCGTGCCGGTGATCAGGAACCCTCACTGCTCCAGTTGGAAGAGCTTTACACCTGGCAGGACCGCGAGATTAGGATCCTAGGATACAAATTGAAGGACGTTCCTTTGATTCAATCCCTTCGATTGGAAGGCGAGGAAGGGGGGCTGGTGCCGGTTGGCTTTCTCGCAATCAGCTGGGATGGGGATGGCCCAGAAAAGGTGGATGGCTCGTGCGTTCGCAACTATATTGTGAACGCCATCAAAGATTACGATAAAACCCCCTCGTGGTTACTGGATCACCTGACGACACTGGATCTGCCCAACGTCAATTTCGATGTGAAAAGCTTGGAGACCGTTCTGATTGGCTGTCCTAAGCTCGTAAATTTACGATGTTCAATGGAACTGGACAACGACAGCTTGGAAGGCTTCGGACCCGATTGCAGGAAGAAATACCACGAAGCCCTAGTGCGGCTCATGGGACAGCACGGAGCCCGGTTGTACGACCTGAGCGTCCGTTGCCGAGGAGATTCGATATTCTCATACATGAGCAGTCTAAGTGGTCCCCGAACACTTCGTTTATCCGGATTCATAGAAGAGTCCGACTCTAGCCTCTTTGCGCAGATGGTGACGAATCGGATAAAGCACAAGGACACTACGACTAGACGAGTTATCCTGAAGCCGAACAGCCACATAGTGAAGAAGAACGCAGACCAGCCAATCAGCCCTTATGAGGCGGCGAAACTCGCTCGCTCGATGTCATCCTCTTCGTCCGTCATTCAAGTGGAGTATCCTATCGCTGTGTCAGTTGGAGTGAAGCGCTGGGTGGACCAACTTTCCTCAATCCTCAAGACGCTTGAGAGAGAAGACGATATCGTCTGGGAGAGTTCGAAGCAGAAAGGTTGGCACAAAATCAAGAGTGACCTTGACAGTGACGATCGATAGGTCTTCTGGTGAGTATCCCGAGCCTCCATGATAGAAAGGACCATTCAGCTAAAAGCGAACGTCTGAGCATTCAGAGCATTTCTTGTACTGGAACACCTCCTGCAACTTGGACGCTTCCTAAGTACATCCAGCATAAGTTGACGAGACTCGGCGTCTCGCAGCGGTACGCCGAGGACATACGACCATGAAATACCACTTTATACGACACTCGACATCGCATAGTTCGCTGGATCGACCGAGCGACTGCACGTCTCCCCTATGCCAATACGCCTTGCGCTCTCGGGATCGCGTTATTGCCGCATGGACAACCATGGCTCTTGGTTCATTCGCACCTCGACTTACGAATCTCTCTCCTTCGCCATCGATGTCGGGACGTTACATCAGATGAGCATCAGCACGTCTTGAGCGATGATTCTCGGTTTGTCCGATTAGTAACCGTTTCGCAACGGAGTTGGAAATATAAGTATGCAACATATAATCGCTAGCAGCTCGCAGCTAGCTGACTGATTCATTGACCTTGTGTCTCTGAGAATGCGAAAAGTCCAAGAGCGATTAACGAACAAAAGAATCTCATGGTGGATCCATCAGTGACGTCATTTTTTGATCGCTTACAGCGAGGACGACTTCAAAAACTGCTACGTGATCAAGTACACGTTCAAGTTAGCAAATTATCTACATCGTCTTGAGTTATACCGATGATGCCGCTCTAGCTACGTAGATACATACATACGGCCTCGTAATCAGTCATCCAAGACCAACGAAACCTCCCCGTCCTAGCCTCTTTTCCTACGGTATTCTTCGACCCAGCGGCACCACCGGTGTTAGTCGACCCATTCCTAGCGGCCGATCTTTTGACTAACCTTGTGTTCTTGGTTGGACATCTTCAGCTCGTCGTCAGTCAAGATGACCGAAGTCACGTCCCAAGACGATACTACGATGACCGAAGACAACTCCGGAACTCGACCTGTGTTCGACACAACCTCTAAACCTAGTCGGCAAGATCCAAAGGACGTTATCGTGGGGATTCACACTACCCCACAAGCAAAGGTCGTGGCGAACGACCTCATCATAAGGACGATTTTTGGCTTTCTGGAGAAACGCTCCGATTTGCTGAGCGCTATGCTTCTTTGCAAGTCGCTCTCGTACATCCCGGCCCGTTTGATGTACAAGACGTGTTCCGAGGACGATCTAGCTCGAGTGTGGACGCGAGGGTGCAGTCCGGTGAGTTGTCTGCCGAGTTTTGCAAGTGGGATGTGCACTAATAGGACGTACTTGACCTCAACAGGACCGCTTTACGGTCTACTGTAACGGGGTCAGACGTCTTCAAATCAGGTCCCGCGCTGACAACGTACACCTGAAGAGCTTCCTACAGCAATATCCATACCTGGCAAAAATTAGTCTTCCGTCGGAGACCGCTGAAGGAATGACTTCGATCAAGCTTGAGGAGGCCTATCTTCACGACGGCCGTCAAATACTCATTCAAGGCGAGAGGTCGCTTGACGGACTCGATCTTACTACTCGCATATTCGAGGTTCAGACGGGCGATGAGGTTGCTTGGGAAGGAATCCGCAGCATCGAAATAGATCGAGCGCGACCGAAAACCTCTTTCGCACGGACTCTCAAGGCCTTGATTATGTCCGCGATAGAGGCCGACAGCGACCGCTCTTCGCTTGCAAGACTACAACGGTTGTCGTTGCTCTCCATCGTCCTCGGTATCACCGATCTGGAGAAGATCTTCGCCAGGTGCCCTTATCTGACGATGTTGGGTTGTACATTGGAGCCTACAGAAGCCACCAAGCGTAGTACATACTTAGACAGGCTGGACGACCTGATGGAGGGTCCAGGAGCCAACATACGAGAGCTGGACGTTTACTGTCATCCATGGACAGTAATGGACTACCTATCTGTTCTCTCGGGGCGGCCATCAGTCATCCACCTAACAGGCTACGAAGAGGATTTCCATCTGACGGACTGGACCTTTGAAAGAGTTGAACCCTTCATACCGGGAGACAGCGGTTGTCAGACACAAGCATTTATTCTCAGCTTGCAATTCGAAGATACCTGGGACGTGAATTCGCCAGACCCTTACACGTTCGCGAAATCTCTTCGGATGTGCCTCCCGCCTGGCTGCGCTATCAAAATCGACATATTCGATAATGACCCATCTGAAGTTCAGGTCACCTGGGTTCGAATAGTCCGCTCGATCTTGGTGGCGCTTGAGAGGGAGGACATGCACTCTCGGAAGCGAGGCTGGACCTTGGTTGGAGGAATGGATGGATCCGACCTATCCAGGTGATTCGCAAACCTCTACGTAAGCATTCGGCTGTATTGTTACTTTGTTTTGTGAGGCTAGTCCAGATGATGACGATTACCATCTTATACCAGCGAAAGAGGTACGTTAACATCGATCTGCAAGACTCGTCCCTTTCCAAACATTCTAAAAAACGTCATGAGCGTCCGAACCCAGCCAGCCTTGTATCGCTAATCCTACGCCCGTCACGACAGCGCCACCACCGCCTTGCCAAGAAAACCAGAATCGCGATTGATTGCGGTCGCTCGACCGTGCTCATACGAACGAGGGAAGCGTGCTTCCCAGTACTACGTTAACATTACGACTTTCATCTTCTTATAACGATCTCTTTACGCAATTTCTTACTCGTCTCGTATACTACTCTGACATCCAACTGTAATCGATCAATACCTTACTCTTCCGATCCTACCATACCGAGATTTCGTTGACTACGCTGCTTCGGCTTGTTTCTACGAAGGTCGGGTATACAAACGAAATCTGGACATCCGTCTTTAATTCACTAACCCTGCTCAACCCGAAGGCACCGGGAAAATCGGGGCGCTGGACGTGTCATCTTTCCATTGACGTCATCTTCGATCGCCTAGAACCGTCGAGGACAAAAGAAGCAAGACGACCGATCACCAGTCATCGGCATCTGCTGTTGCGCTCTCGCGCCGTCGAGTACGAGTATATATATCAGAACGTGATTCTTCGTGGTGTAACTGGTACGGAGTCCCCCTCAACTTCGCCTGATCTTTTGGAACTGAAACCTCCAGACGCAAGCGCGACTCTATCTAGTAAGTTCAACGATTGAGCCATTGCTATGGCCCGGCGCATTACTAAATCTCGCTTACCGTCCCAAAACATACAGACAGCCTTGAGCTGCTTCCAATTGCGTTTCGCAAAACCTGACCTCGGAACGCACAAGGCCCAACGGGAAACGCAGATTGCGACTTGAACATGGCGGAACTCGTTCCCAGCGGAGGAGCTTGCGATGGTCCGAAGCGCAGTCCGCAACAACTAGTCTCAGCCAACGACCTGATCATGCGAAGCATCTTCGACCTGGTCGATGCTCGAGAGGACCTCCTTAGCGGCATGCTAGTCTGTAAGGATATCGCCAGCATTCCGGCGCGCTTGATCCATAAGTCCACGACGGAAAGCGAATTGGCTCGAGTCTGGTCTCGAGGCTGCAGTCTCGTGAGTCGACTTGCTGACGAATTTCCAATGCATTCCGACCCTGATAGACGTTGCATCGCGACACAGAACCGGTTCTACTTGTATGTTCACGGAGTGAAAGAGCTTACCGTCAAGTCTGGCTCGCCGCCCATCAATCTTGAAGAGTTACTACAACGCTTTGAACTTCTCGACCGGATCCACGTCACCGCACCCTTACGAAATTCCGCCGATGTCAAGGTGGAAGAGATCTACCTTTGCGGCGGTCGTAAAGTCTACGTGCGGGGACAGACTGGTCCGAACGAACTAAGTCTCGATCGCCGGGTGTTTCCCGTCGAAGTCAACGAGCGAGTTGCTTGGATAGGGATTCAGAGCCTTTCGGAAAGCCCCGCATACGTGGACAGAACAAGAGACGCAAGACTTCTGGATCTCGTTTCGTCTGCGATACGAGTCGGGTCCACCTCGCTCCGGGAGCTTTCAAAGCTGGAGGTCTCGCGAATCCGCTTCACTTTGAAGGTGTTGGATTTCGTTTTAACCGGTTGCCCCAAGTTGAAGGTGCTTAGTTGCTCTCTTGACACCTCAGCTTCCAGAGGAAACCTGGGGCCGTTACGAAAGATCATGTGGGGACCGGGAGCACAGCTCCGGCAATTGGATATACAATGCTATTATCACGAGCTTTTATCGTACTTGAGACGTCTCGAGGGATGTCCTCACTTAAGGATCTCAGGGGCGATCTCGTGCAGTTCGTTGTTGCTAGTGACGCCATTCTCCCCTCCATCTGCGAAAGGAAACCGCACCGAACACTTGACGCTAGCCCCGAGCATGTCCATGGAATGGAAGGAGACATTAGCAGACCCTTATCATGTCGCCAGGCAGATCCGAAACTACATTTCGCCGCATTGCGTGGTCACAATCGATACCTCTGGCAGATCCGGGGAAGAGCTGCTATGGTTGCGCATCCTGTCGTCCATACTCAGATCGCTGCAAAGCGAAGAGGACCTGCGTCGATCCAAGACGAAAGGCTGGGCGAAATGCGATCCTCCTCCTCAACCCAATTGATACGGGTCGATCAGGTAAGCGCTACCCGAAACACGACTCGAGACCATGATAGCTAATGACATAAGCCGATCTCTCAGATTAGCATGAGACTTGCATCGAGCCCGTTCTCGATTGCCGCAACTGTTTTCATTGAGCAGGTCGACCTGTACGACAAGCACTCGGTCCGACCTGTACGACAAAGCGAATCCCATTTGCGACAACAGTTCCGTCGCCTTACGTTTACTTATGAACAACCTAACCGAACGATACGACAAATCTTCTATCAACAAGAAGCCTACGGGATCCCTTCGCCCTCGTCTCTCGAGCGGTGCCGATAAAAACCTCCACCAAACGACTACCCCCGATCTCCCGCTTGCCACCATACACGGATGACATAGGAGCGTCGTCAACATGACTGACGACTCACGACTTACGGAAGACGACAAAAACAAAAGCGCGCTCTCGGTTCTACATCAGAATCTTTGTCGCCGACAACACGTTTTATGTATGCTTCAGATAGAGCAAACGCTCCTGAATCCCTCATGACCATTTACGTAGATCGCGTCTGTATCTCTGCTTTCTCAATTATGACAAGTATATCTAGTATCCCTGGTAGCTGGTATGTAGCTAGAACGCCGTGTATTCTGGCGATTCTCACACTCCGTGTTGAACGGAATGTTCTGGGGGGAACAAGTTTTGTGCTTCTTGGGTGGATCGACGGTTGACGTCATCGAGTCGAGTACAAAAGAAAAAGGACAAAGCTGAAATCACGATTCGTCTTGTTGATCGTGAGCATGAGACAATAAATATAATAACAAAGAAGCTAGAGATGCTAGAGAGCTAGAGAAGTGGTATTGGTATTCATAGCACGCCTCCCTTGTGAGATAGCGTACAGATATTTGACGTCTGTCCCGTCAAGTCATTCGTTGTTACATGAATCGAGACTGACTCCCGATGTCCTCGTTATACTTAGGTTCGGTACGCTCTGATAACACTCAAAAATCGAACAGCTTGAGCAAGCCTACAACCTTCGATTCGCACGATTGCACACCGCTTAACGCAAACGCCTTTCAACAAAAGTATTAGCATGGCATACAACGACGACGCTGCCAGTGACATACCTTCGCAGCGACTTCCCGATGAGGAAATTCAAAAGCCACACGAAACGATCGCCGAAAACGATCTTGTCATGCGGACCGTCTTCGGCTTCGTCGAGAGGCCCAAGGACTTGGTGAACTGCATGACGGCTTCCAAAGGGTTCTTCGAGATCGTTGTTCCTTATCTTTATCGATGTTGTATCGAGTATACATTGGAAGATTTGAAGAGCAATAAATGCGATCTTGTGAGTAAGAGTTCCAAGGCGTCTACGTATCCTGATCATTGACGGGTCCGTCTACTTGACTGCCAGGAGCGTCTCAAGATTTACAAGGGCCATGTCCGAGAACTTACCGTCGAGGAGTACTCTGTTACACAAGTGACTATATCGGCCAAGATTCAGCAATACAAAACCCTTGAAAAGATCGTGATCTGGCCGGAGTATCGACGTTGTTCTTGGGGCGGAATCAACTTGACGGAGGCCTATCTTCTCGGTGGGCGGCGGATCCTCATGAAGACGCGGGTTTCGCGTACAGATCTAGATTTGAGTAATGGGGTCGGAAAGGTTATTACTGGGGAGGACGTAGAGTGGTTGGGTATCTGCGGTATAGAGGCCACCGCACGGATAGAGTCGGATACAAGCGAGGCGATTCTCCGACAGACCTATTCGACTCTGAGCAGTGGAGCAGCTTCGTCACTTCAAGGACTTCAGAACCTGAGTGTTCTCGGCAGTGACATGTCGTTGGCAGCCCTTGAAACTACCTTGAGAGGTTGTCCAAGCTTGAAGTCGCTCGCTTGCACGTTCGATATTGAGGCCAAATCCACCTTGAGCGACCTAGGCGAGCTGTTGAGAATCCATGGTAGCGGACTTCATCATCTACATGCGGATACTACAGGACGCGACATACTCGCTGTTCTCCCTCACCTTCTTATTTGCCACGCCTTGACACTCGAAGGCTGGACTAAATGGGAGACTTTGCGGGACGGCGATGCCCCATCACCGACTGTCTCGCCTACCCGTGAACTCATACTCGTACCGCGCTCGTCGTCCGTAGAGAATGGCCTCCTGCCGAATCCGTATAACTGGTCTCAACGAGTCATAGGGATTGTTCCCAGGTCTTGTAAGATATACCTCGATGAGACCAATCTCAGGTTCCGAGAATCGACCTGGTGCAAAGTCGTCTCCGACTGTCTCAGACCTTCGCGTGAACCGGATAGTCGAAAGAAGACCGACCGGCCGGGGTGGACCAAGCGTGATCGCGGCACTCATCCGCTGTGAGAAGGAGTGACCACGATACGGTGAGCAAGAACATGCTGTCGAACTCGAAAGCCGGCTAAAGTTTTATCCTAAGAATTAGCAGTTATTCGAGAAGATCATGATGTCAACCCTGGACGAACGACGTAACCAACCGAATACAACAACCCTCTTTTCCCTTCCAACATCTCCATACTATCTTACGAGCGAAAACCAGCAAACAAAAAGTTACGATACTCGTTCATAGGGCATCCGCAGTATATGCCGACATCATCCGTCTGATTGCCGAGAGCGCATGAGATGGAGCGTGTCTAAGCGGACACCGCCGTGCCCCTTGAGCAAAAAGACAACCTCCCACTTTACAATCGGCTCGATCTATCTATGAGGCATACACAAAACCTCTCCCATCTCGGATCGGGAGATTACAAGGCGCGCCCTCTCGCCGTCAAGCAGGATGCTTCCGTCGACGACGCGTTTCACGTTTCAACGGTTTTCTTTTGCGCTTAGTACAAAGGACACGTAGTTTCTTACCTTGTGAACCACAGTTTCAGACCGCTTCTATTGTTTCTGCTTTATAGTATATATGTGACATATGGCCGCACGATACATGACCCACGGGTCGAAACACGAGCTCCAAAGATACTATTCCACCGATCGATCGCGTCCAAGAGGTCTTCAAGCGCTTGAGTACTCTCGCTTTAGGATCCTAAAGCTAAGAACACTACGGACACGTGCTGATTGACTGCAGATGTTTCCCGGCTATTCCATGGAACCGAAGCATGCTAGTCAGCAGCCCGACTCATCTTCATGATCGCAATATCTTGTTATCGACGGATGGGCCTAGAGAACATGGAAATGGACCTAGGTTAGCATAAGAGGCTCAGAACGTCCGAGATTCGGAGAGGAGTGTTAAAAAGTGCGCGGGTAGATTCTAGATATCGTAAAAACCTCTGGCTATCTGGACGGGACGTATGTGATGACATGTTCGCAGAAAGTGTTGAAGTGGAGATTGCCATCATCTTTGGGTCCACTCCGTTACGTTCCAGGATCGTGCCTGGAGGGTGTCGATTGGACTCCTACAAGATCTTTCGCATTCTTCGTCTCCTTTTGGCACTAAAGATATCGGAGGACTGCACTCTAGATCGATTCGATTGGACGATGGATGTTGTGTTGGACGATGGACAACATTGTTATAGTTCAGACAGGTATCACTGCACTAAGCGGCCTGGCTTAATGACTAGACACGTGAACGTGCAAGAGATCAAGAGATACTGGTGATGGGGGCTTTCTTGACTCTAACTCATGAAAACTACGGGCCGTTGCGGATGTCACAACAACGGTCTCCCCCTTTGCAATCTCCCAATATTGAGCTTGTGCCTCGCAAGAAATCCATCCTTGAAGTATCATTCGGCATACACCAACAGTTAACACCCCTGATGGTGCCTTCCCCTGGTTTGAGTGTGCCCGGTTTGATTTTACCGTCTGTAGCAATCTGATGTTCAAGCTCACTTCTGGAATACTTTGGTTGATTGAGGCTGCAGAGGTCCTTGACTTCAATCTGAGAGGGCAAGGTATGTCAAACTTCAGACCGGTGATTTGCGGACACTACTGGTGACGTTATCAGAGGACTTTCGGGTTTCTGACAGACGTATCCGAGTGAAAATTACAAACCCAGCTTGTTATTGAAATAGGCAAACGTCTGAAACGAATCGGATATCAAACGATATGCAGCGAAACAAACAAGCCAATAATCCATCGGTAAATCGAGGTAATACAGTAATAAGGACAACATCTGTCTGATTTCGATCATATACGTGAGTCGCACGACGGGTACTGTACAACGCTATGCTTTGCTTTCCTAAATCCTGAAATTGCCGGAGAAGCGGTCTGTTTTGCCCCGGCTCGGAATAAATGCGCTTCCATTTCACGTATTTTCGTCATAGGTAAGCTTCTGGGGGGACGTCTCAATGACCACTCAAGAAGAAGTAGGCAAGGTTTCGAAATCATCCTGAACGATCGCGACTCACTATTGCAACCTCGCCGGCTATAACTGGACTCGGAGCCTGAGCAGAAATCCCATCGGGAGCAGAAATCCATCACTCAATTTGACGGGAATTGACTACAAGATTGGGCGCGACTGAGCAAGACAGACCGGAGAAGCAAGGATAGCAAGACTGAGATATGCAGTATAGACATGGAGAAGTGATCGACTGAGTATGGCGTTCGCCCGTGATGCTCGTAAACAACTGTACACTGTGATGTTAAGAAAGAAGAAGAAGAAGGATGATGCAATATGATGATCAAGGCTTCCATGATGGAACTTTCCATTCGTGACGTCATGTTCATCAGCAAACTCTCATCAAGGATCAAGTATCAAGTATCGACAAAGACATCAACAACAACACCAACAACCAACATATCGATACTTTGGTCGAAAGGGAAGTCACGACTACACCAGTTCATAAACTACATAGCCGCTGCCAAAATCTCAACACGTCCTCGACCTCCTCGTCAGGTCAGCTCGCACATATCAGCACTACGACAACATCGAACTGGCCACTCTCCCGCCATGTCTTCCGCTGCCTCCAGCACTTCCACAGACACGAACGACGAGATGGAGACGACTGCAGCACGACAAGTCTTTCACAATCTGCTATCGGAGATCCTCAATCATCTGGAAAAGAAACGCGATTACCTCAACTGTGGCTTGGTCTGCCAAGCAGGGTTCCCTGTCGCAATGAGAAAGCTGTATGAATCCTTCTCTCATTCATCTCTTGCGAGGCTCTGGACAGATTACGGCTGTGTTCCGGTAAGTCCTTTCGCAATTCGGTACCGTAGTTTGATTCCTGATTGCTATCTCGCATATCATGCAGTCTCGGTTCTTTCTCTACCATGACAGTATCCGGGAACTTTGCCTCAACGGACCTCATACTGGTAGAGAGCCTAATCGCATCGATCTACGGCGATGGTTTACACAATACCCCAAAGCCACGAGTATGGTCCTACTCCGAAGCCCCTGCGAACCCAACGATAGGGTCTGCGCTCACGAAGCATTCACCTTCGCCGGACGTATCATACCTGTGCACGGCACTGTCCGCTATTCCCTACCGATGACGGAATCAGCTTTCGGGCCTGAAGCAGACCAGGATATCATCTGGCTCGGACGTCACTCCATCGACGGGGTCGGAGCGCCGCAGGAGGAGCAAGACCTGCTCTTCGGAGATTTCTATAGGGTGATTGATCCCTCGATCAACCCTTCGTCTTTACAACAACCCACTCTCGGAACCAGCATCCTCGTATCGCTAGCTTTCCCAGGAGTCGAAATGTCTCTGAAAGTCCTCGACGACATCCTGGCAGTCTGTCCCAGGCTCAAGCGTATCTCGTGCATCTTGACCTGTCATTGGCCCGATCCTACGGATTATTTGACACGGTTGACCGATCTCGTCCGAGGTCCAGGAGCCGGGCTGGAACAGATCGGTCCCTGCATCGTCAAAGGCGCGAACCTGCTCATGTTCGCTCGACATCTCGCCTTCGTCCCAGCGGTCTTCCTGGAAGGTGTCATCGATGGAGATTGCATCGACTCGGTGGTATGGCTTCCTTTGCTGACGGGCTCTCGACCCGGCCAGATCGTGCTCAAGCCACAACCGATCGCTCGCGAAGGTCAACACGTGGACGAGACCATCAATCCTTATGAATTGGCCAAGGTCATCAGACGGGTCCTGGGGTTCTCCAAGGTATACATCCAACAGGCTACCGAAGGGACCTTGACGGACGCCACGGTCATGTGGACGAGGATCTTGAGCTCGATTTGGAAATCGTTCGAGAAAGAACACGAGTCTGTGCTCACGTTTGAAGATTTCGAGATATCGGAAGATTGGGAGATCGACCACTGTACGGAAGATCCGAAGCCGAATTTTTGGGACGACGAAGAGGACGAGTCGATGTTGAAGGATTTCTGGGACGCTCAAGAGCAAGCGCCGGTGGCAGAGGCTTTCGCGGGAGCTAACGGGGATGAGGGAACGCGGGTCTGATAGAAAGAGTCGTTTTTGGTGAGTTCAGTTCACCGTTGTGCTAGATAACCCACAGCATCTGAGCGACCGGTCCTGTGGGATTTAGATGATCCCCAAAGAGCAGTTTGCTGGTCGATGGGCAACTGCAGATCCCCTCGCGACCGACGATAGATGAAACAGAACGCCTTCAAACAGAGTTTCCTACCGAGTGACTGTACAATTGTATGACTCGCAATTTCGGTACCGTATACGATTCGTCTACGTAAACGTCGACGTGTCCTACGTTGATGCCCTATTTCTGACGTCATGGTCAGGCTGTCCTGATTCAGCAGTCTACATCAAGTCGCAAAATATAAATTGCCCTCGGCTTCGTAAGACGTCCCAAGTCACTTTCTCGATTCGTATCTTCATCCAAATATCCGGTCATTGAAAGGACTCACCCTACCCCTGCTAGCGATAAGCAATAAACCACGATAAAAAACCTCACGATGTCTACTACTCCCATCACTCCTCGCGATGCTATCGAGAGACGTCAAGAGACGCCTGCGGAAACGGTCTTTCGAGCCTGCATTCTAGACATTTTGGCCTTCCTGCCCCGTGACATAGATTACCTCAACTGCTCGATGGTCTCGCGAGCTGGATTCGCCAGCGCCTTACAAATGTTCCATCGGTACTGCACTGATACCACCCTCAGCGAATTGTGGACGACAGGCTGTGATTGGGTGAGAGCGTAGTTTAGCCCGGTTCAGCTGTACTGATAGTGGCTAATCTTCGTACCTGATAATTTAGGATCGGTTCAAAAGCTATGCGAATGGCGTCTGGGGCTTGCGTGTGGAAAAACTTAATCCTGGTCAACAGCGCTTGGATCTTGCACGGTGGTTCCGCGTGCTTCCTAATTTGAAAGAAATCCAGTTCACCAATAGGCAAAACCTTCCAGAAGAGGCCGACGATTACTACCTGGTTGATATTTCAGACGGTTCGAGCGGATGCTGGTGGAGAGATACACCATTCAGGTCATGGAACTGCATCAGTTGCAAAGAGCTTTATCGCTTCGAGGGAAGGACCGTAACCGTCGAGGCGGAGAGAAGCCAGTACAAACCCTTCGCCGAGCCGACCTTTGACATCAGCCACAATAAGGAGATCGAATGGCTTGGCTTTGTTGAAATCTGCGGGAACCAGGCATGGGAAGGCAAGCAGAAGCACGTTCACAGGCATCTTTTCCAGGCCCATGAACAACAACCTATCCAATACGGAGTGGCGATAAAACACCTGGTTGCTCTCAACTTGTGGGGAGGGTACTTGACTTTGGACAAACTCGAAAAGATCTTGGAGATCTGTCCGAACCTGACGGAGTTGGCTTGCACGCTGAATTGCCGGAGGGTACCGGACGTTCGAATGTACATGAACCGGCTGAGTGCGTTACTCAGGAACTCAAAGGTTGTCAAGTTTCGAGGCAAGGTCGGAGGAGCGGACCTGCTCGTCTTCGCCCGACACCTCGCCGTATGTCCGAACCTGTGGCTTGAAGGCGTTCTCATCTGGCACGACGTCGCCGAGATCATTGAGAAATCTCCCGTGGACTCTGCTAGACTCAGCCGAGTCGTCTTGAAGCCGCATCTAGCGAACGGATGGTTGAAAAAGGATCAAAGAATCAACCCGGTCGCCGTGGCGCAGGTGATCAGAGCGATCTTTCCGCCCGGCACCACAGTCTCAATCATAGAATCGCAGCCATACTCTGCCGAAAGCCATGAGGTCCTCTGGATGGAGCATCTGCACTGGATTATGAAAGACCGCGATCATGAGTCGAAGGAGCGCGACCTTGAGCTGAAGAACCGCGAGGATTGCAAACTTGAGCTGAACGATTGCAAACTTGAGCTGAAGAAGCGCGACGTGAAGCTGAAAGAACGCGATCTTGAGCTGAAGGAACGCGATCTTGAGCTGAACAGCTACAAAGTTGAGCTCAAGGACTGCAAAATTGAGCTGGAGGAATCCAAGCTTTATCTGAAGAACCGCGATCTTGAGTTGAAAGAGCGTGATCGGAGGATTCAACAATTGCTCCAAACAATTTTGACTTTATCCGAGACGCCATCGAAAGACTTGTGACAACGGCGACACTGGGTTAGTCGAAAATCGAAAAGAAGGTAAGCTACTCCAGCCCAGTCATGGACGCTTATCGGAACATCGAAACTGCGACTGATTACCCGTTGCGGTAACAGAACCAATCAAGCAGGAATACGAAGGCCACATATAGACGGAGCGTCTGGGAAGGAGGTCTCGGTAAAAGGGGAAGCGGTTGAAGCAACGCGCCATCTTGACACTCAGGAGACTCAAACTATATGAGGAAAACTGTGGTCAGATTCTGCATGATCGACAGGGACCAAGTGATAGCACTTTTGTAACGTCCCGTAATTTCGCTTATGCTCATTATCATAATCATCAGGAGCGCTATTGCTGCTCAACCATTCCCACCAGTCCGATCAGAGGTCTGCGCGAATTTGGCGGTCGTCCGAATGACCCTTCGGGACCGCCGAAACGATACAAGCACTCTCATCTTCAGATTACTGGGCCACTATTGGCGCACGTTCGCCTCCAATCCCTCAACCACCGTATCCGATTAAAAATCGATATGTTGCTCTATCAACGACAAGTACTAACAACCGATGCACAAACACTGACCTGTTGAAATGCAAGACATGTGTTTGAGATCTGACATGCAAGTGATGCATACCAGTGATCTACTGTAGCTACCCGAACGTTTTCATTGTGGACGCCCTGACTCATTGGACTAGGCTTGTCGTGATGTCTGCGCCTGCTTTTTGAAGTACTGGATCGTCGTATGTTGACGATCAGCATGATCACCTCTGACGTCATTACCTTTCCAAGCGCTCGGTGAAGAACAAAAGAAACCTTATCTTACCCTGGTAGTGTCTGCGTCATCTTTGCTGTGTACTGTGTCGACTCATCTCCTCGGACTCGGAAGGGCGGGACAGAAAACGACGAGCTACTGTCCCAGATCAGCTAGACCAGAGGTCAGGGATCAGAGATCAGAGATTGAATCGCATAAACTGGCATCTCCCTCGCAGCTCGCAGATCGACTATCGCCACATCGTGCAGCTTCGCCAGCCTGATCCAAAGACTTGTCCTCGCGGATTCGACGAAATTGGCCTAGGTCCAAAGCCATGTCTACTGTCCTGAGCGTCTCTTCGCCGGCGATCGATGAGGAGACTCAGAACGCTGGGGAGACGGTCTTCCGGAACCTTCTGAGGGAGATTTTGCCTTTCCTCGAGGAACCTTCGGACCGTTTAAACTGTGCTCTCACATGCCAATACGGCTTCGCTTTGGCAGTCCCCGAGTTATATAAGAGCTCTACCAGCAGGACAATTGAACGCGTGTGGGCTTCAGGCTGCGATCTAGTAAATCCTGATATGCGATCCTACGATACTTGACGATCTGACTTTCAGACATGGTGCAGGGTCGTTTCGTGATGTATGTAAACAGCGTATTTATGCTGTGGACAATGGAACATGACTTCAGGCGGTGTCTCCGCCAGTTTCCAAACATGCGATATCTCCATCACAGAACGATCTACTACCTGTTGTCCTCGGGCATACGAAACGCGAAGTCGGGATACTTTTGGATAAGTGAAAGGGTCCGTGAAAACGGGCTGACTCTGGAGGTACAAACGGAGAAAGCATGGACAGTAAATGCGCCGTTGACGATCAGAAAGGATCGAGATCCTCATTCGTTGGACTTCGTAGAGCTCAACACCGGTGGCTCGCCCGTCGAAAACCAATCGGCGATCATGAGGGACATACTCGAATGCAACGTCGCCCTACCTCTATCATCACCTTGGAAGATTCTCCGTGCGGCGTTCTTACCTGGTCTCGAGATGACACTACACGACCTGGAACGTCTCTTGGAGCAATGCCCCAATCTGGAGAGATTATCATGCAGACTAAATTGTCCTTCGAACAATATCGCTGGTTACATGACCCATTTGGAAAGTCTCTTCCAAGAAAGGGCGATCGATCTGAATAGTGAGACGGCAGGAGCCGGTCTACTGGTCTTTGCTCGGCACCTAGCCGTCTGTCGCGAACTGCACTTGGCCGGGCCATTGCATTGGTCAACTTTTCGAGGCATGGGGTTCGGTGGGATGATCACGAAACTGGGACCTGTGAATGGTTGCAGCGTCTCTCATACCTATCTAGCCCCGAAGATGCAAATAGGATGGATGTACCACCTACATGAAGTAGCGCAGACCATCAGAAATATCATCCCGTCCAGCTCGGTCGTCAAGATCCGAACTCGGAAAGCTTCGGGATCGACTCGCGACATAAGCTACGATGCAATCTTTGCACATATGCTGCAAACGGTTCTGACTTCGCTCGAGCAAGAAGCAGTCGAACGGTATGCGCTGCTGGCAACTCCTGGATGGTCGAAAAGGGAAAACATGGAAGACGAGTGAGTCAAGACCTTGGCAACGTGATCATGTTTCATCTCGACCTGACCCGTACACGATTTTGCAGGTCTTTAGAGCGAGACGTATAGAGGTGATCTCAAGGTGGAAGACCATGAATGAGAAAACCAGCGATATTTGATATACGGAGAGGTGTGGCAATTGTTGAGCAATACTATCAGCACCCTCAAATCCTGCTTCAGCACAAATATCTTACTACGCATTCGATCAAGAACAACGATCGATATAGCTTGTAACACCCATATGCCTCTCTGACGTATCAACTCCTGGTTCGAAGTCCCGAAACGCTCTCGGGATGAGACGCCACTAGCTTTCCAAGATGTATCAGCTATATCTCAGTATATCTCTTTGTTATCGCTGTCTATACAAGCCCTCTCACGTCTAGATCATAAACCTCTTATGCCGTATCACCCATGCCACCCCGCTTAGCACGACCAAGTACCCGCTCAACACGACCAGTGCAGTTGAGTCGCTCGCGTACATCGTCTTCATCGAGACGTTTATCAAACCTGTCAACAGGTTTGCCTTAAGAAACCAGATGACGAGGTACGTATCAGTCTCGCAGAAGAAACACGTCGTCTGATTAGGAAGAAGATGGATCACTTACTGCTAGGAAGAGGACCAGCCCGTTCTTGTTGAACGCTGCCATCAATGGTGGAACCACCCTTCGTTGCCGCTTGTTCTCGGCGCCGAAGACTAGGAGCTCGACCAAGAGGTATCCAGCGAGAAAGGTCGTGTTGAAAGCCGCTGTCCAGATGACGTAGGAAGGATTGGCCTGTCGAGGTTCAGACGGACGCTATCAGTCTCCGCGTTTGCGAAGGCGGTGGTTCTTGTAATGTCGACTGACCAACCGCCTGGACACCCTCCCACCGAACAACCAAACGACAGCCAACAAGCTCCACCAGATGATCGCATAACTGCCCAAGATCATCCCCAGCTCCTCTTTGCGTCTCTCCGCTTTACCCTTTTCGACCCCGCGCGAGTCGTAGTCCGGGACGTCTTCTTCCTCTTTGACGTATGGCTTTTCGGGAAAGGCAAAGTAAGGGTCGGGAGGGAGGATGTAGTGGCCGATGTCGATACCGAGGAGGTAGATGGCGATGTAGCCTATGAATGTTCAACGATATTCCAGGATCAGCGAGGGGAAGGTTACCAACCAACATTGCGCCTTACCTGGCAGACTGACGATTCCTTCTTTATTCAGACCTATCAAACCTGTTCGATCGGGTCCCATCACCCAGTCCTGCAACCCCACCCCAAGTCCGAGCAGATGCACTGTCCCACCCCCGAAGCTCAGACCCGATCAGCTTTCTATCAGTCTGACCGTTTGAAGACGACTCACCGACCATGACGACGAGCCCCATATCCCTGAACCGGACCCATCGTCTCAGAGTCCCAAACATCCCTCCGAAGAGCGGCATAGAACCGAGCGTAAAGAAGAAATTCCAGTGCACGCCGTATTCCGTCATGTGTTCCTGCATATCACTTCACTTGCGTCAGCCAAAAGAACTCTTCATCCAGGATGTCCTTTCGTAACGAGAAGCTTACGGGGTACTCGACACCCTTGACCATTAATACCCTGACTACACCTAAGATCCAGACGGGGATGCTCTTCCTCAACCCGGAGAGGACGGTATTGAGCACCGTGGTAGTTGGCGAATCGAGGCGAAGGAACGGGGCCGCCGAGGTAAGGCCCAGAGAGAAGACGAACGACCCTACTCCGATGTCCATCTGAAACATCGTCATTTGGCACAATAGACGAAATCAAAGATCAGCATATGATTTCCCTCCGGGTTAGCGGACCTGCCGACAGGTGCAGTATGGTAAGGGCTCGGTACTGACCAGACTAGTCCCCCAATCTTCACACTTTCCAAACTCCCTAGGAAAGACAGGGAAATCGACAGCGAGGATCGCGACGATGGTCATCAACATCATCTGTGCCCTATAGACCGATAAGAACGGTTGAGGTGGGAATCTCGTCAGGGGTGATGCTTCGGTCGAGGTTGAGGTTGAGGTTGAGGTCGTGGCCGGATCGAGGGTCGATCGTGGGGTGGAAGTGAGGTCTTGAGAGGAGTTAGGGGGGAAGGTGTTGCTAGTCGGCGAGGGAGAATTGATCTTGATGGTGTGCATATCGGATTCAGGAGTCAGAGAGGGAGAGCGACGTCGTTGAGGTAGGATTAATCGAGGTGGTCGCAAACCGGGGATGAGGTTGGATTTGTCCGATTTTGTGCGTGTCGGCTTCTTCTCAGAGATTATGGTAGGTGGTGTTTGTAGGTTCGCTGGTTCGTGACCGAGCACAGGCTCGGTTTTCCGTGATAGCAGCTTCCAGGTGATGGTAGAGATTACCACAAGTGCGATGTTGAAGGCGATGGGACGCGAGGAAAAGACGGTCTGACCGAGGAGGAGGGGGAGGATGGAGATGATGAAATCGATCCATGGGGAAGTTCGTGATGTGGCTTGTGCTTGTGTAGCGTATAGGTAGTATGATGTCTGATTGTAACATTTTGATCTTTTCGTAAGCCTTGAGCTTGTCACAGTGGACAGTAAAGATGAGGTAGAAGTCATGCTGCTGAACTTACCAGTCCCACCAAGCTGACGGCGTTAACCGTCCATATCGACGTCCCCGGGTTGTCCGCCACGAACGCCTCTTTGGCCGACTTGTAGTCCATCTTCGAGCTATCACAGACTCCTGAATCGATGTAGAGAATGCTAATTATGATATATGACAGGGATACCAGGAGATGAGGAAAGGTAGTCATTTGGAAGTTGTTGAACCGCAACCTTTCGGCCAGCATCCGCCCCTTCTCTCCCAGGTCACATTGTCAACAAATAACGTAAACAGCTTGGTGACGTAAGAGTATATAAGCGGACATCGAGCCGTTTATGGGCAGAATATGTTCTGATGTCCGTAGCTAATGCTTTGGGCTCGCCTCACCCGGGGACGATCATCAACAGCCTCATCTCTACCGCATCACTTCCAATCAGTTTCACAGCAGTGTCGTGTGTCGTCAGGAAGCATCAAGCAAGCCATGAAGTTGACATCTACCATTTTGCTAGCCAGTGCGGGTAAGTCGGCGTCACTCGAGTCTGTTCCAGCGCGACATCACGACTAACATCCTCGACTGCGCACCGATCGATACACAGCCTTCACCGCCACAACGACCGCCTTCCCCCTCCTCACCACACGCCACATCAACCTAGACGCCCTCCTCGGTTTCTCCTCGGATCCTCAAGCCGGGTTCGACGAACGGACCCATGGAAAAGTCTGGGTGAACGGGAAGGGCCCGGGAAGGGAGTATGCGAAGGGTTACGGGTTGGTCCCGGGGAAAAAGGAGAAGGAGGTGGACGAAGGGTGGTTGAGGTGGATGGACAAGGAGATGGATGCGGGTAGGGAGAGGGAGGGATCTTGGGCTGCGATCTGGGAGGTGATCGTCGGAGGAACCGAGGATGACAAGCATCTCGTTGAGGTTCCTGGACATGAGCATGGATTCAAGTACCAAGCCGTCCCCATTGGCGGGATGAGGACCCCTCACGAAGCCCATCCTCACCACCACCACGATCACCACGATCACTCCCACCCTCACCCTCACCACAACGGACCCCACTCCCACTCGGACGTCACGGACGAAGACCTGGAGACGATGCTCGTCGCTGCCGGCGTTCGACCTGGTTTCGGGGAACACCCGCCCTATAAGCACGGTCGGCCTGAACCTGGGTTCGGACCTAGAAGGGGGAGGGGAAGAGGAGGTCGTCATCATCATCGGTTGATGCATGGTTCTGGGGAACGTCAGCCTAGGTGTTTCGTGGGCCGGTACGTCATTTCATTCGCGTTCATCACTTCGTGTTCTGTTGCTGATCGAAAGTTCGGTTGCGCCGATTCATAGGTTCCTCGAAGCCCTCTCCCACTTGAAACCCCACGAGACCTTCTTGATCACCTTCACCCTCGTCCACGGCTTCCTCTCCATCCTGAAACTACTCGTCGTACTCGTCGTACTCGTCAAGAGGTCTCATCAATACGCCAACGAGGTCGAAGGTGGCGGTTATCCCGGTGCCGAGTTTAGGAACAGGAGGGAGAGGGAGAGGTTGCCTGGGTATGAAGAGGTCGCTAATGGGGAGGAAGAGGCGGAGAAGCGGGAGAAGGAGGAGAAGTAGGCCGAAGTGCTCGGCTATACTTTTTTTGAGGGCGATTGTGCTCTCGTTCTCGTCTGCTCGATCTGAATTATTGAAGTAACGTTGTGTCACCGAATTTCTTTTTGTAGTTCCTGTTTGGTTTATTGTTTGTAAGGCGTTGTCGCCGAGAATGAAAGTCTATGAAAGTCGAACCTAGTCTGGCCATATTACTCCTGACGGGTTTGGGATCGTTGAAGCCGACTTTCTGGAATCTGACAGTCGGATTATCGCGATGCATACGTCTCGAGAACATCTCATACAACCCGACTGCCGAATGCTCATAGCATACTCTTCCCTCCCTGGCCTTGCTGTTCGCTACTTCCATCCTCGCTCAACCCATGCTCCCACAAAAACTCGGCCGCCCGCTCGATCATCTCCCTACTACACCGATGCCCACACCCTTCCTGACTCCACCTCTCCTTGACGCCCTCCGGACCGACTTGTAGACGATCGTAAAACGGCTCTCCTAGAGCTGCGGGGACGACATCATCGGCCTGACCGGTGAGGACCAAGAGCTTCTTGTTCCAGAACGGATTGAGTTTAGGGTCAGAGGTGTCGAAAGGAGAGTTGATGGGGTCGGTGCGTTTGAGAAGAGATTGGAGGGTTTGGGGGAATATGCAGGGTTGGCCGTGTGATTTCATGCGGGAGGTTGTTAGGGAGGTGTAGTCGGGGCAGCCGATGATGGGAATGCCGAGCCGGACGCGGGGGTCGTGTGTGAGGAGTTGGTACGTGACGTGGCCTGGAGAGCAGGTTGCAGGTCGTCAGCCGGATCACAGGATGGTCAAATTTTTCACAAATGAGGTTTGACTCACCCCCCAAGCTGATTCCTGTCATCCAGAACTCCTCGACCGTTTTCTCATCGTAAGGAAAAAGGTAACTGGGGATGATGTCTATCAAGCCCGAGACGTCGCTCGTCGTCCCGCGAAACAGCGAGTACAGGTCTAACCTGAACTTCAAAGTCAACATATTTTAGCCCAGTAGAAGGAAAAGCAGAAAAAATGTCGACAACGGTTAAGACTCACGGATGTCTCTCATTCTTGGCTAAGTACTGATTAGCCTCGTCGTCCACGAACCGTTCGCCGTGATTCCGCTGGTCTAGGGTGACGATGACGATCTCCCTCCTCCTCGTCCGGTCATGTTGGTCCTGATGTTCCAGTTTACGAGTACCTTCCAAGATACCTGCAACGAGGTTTTTCAGGTCAAACTGCTTGCCCATGAGTCCGTGAGATGCTACGAGGACCGCGATGGGGTGAGGTGAGGCCAGGGCGGCGTCCAGGTTGTAGACGACCGTGTGGATGCCGCCCATGTTGAAGCGCTTGTGAGAGGTCGTCATGTTGGAACTTCTGGTATTACTTGTGTTTGGGCAGTCCGACCAGCAAGCTAGCTTAGCTGTAGATATTCACTTTCACGAATGTCATCCCGAACAGAATGCAAACGACTCTCCTCGGTCCGGTTATCATCACATCGCTGAGTGACGTAATCACACTTATTTACATCCGATCAGCCATGAAATATGCTTCCGATCGATCGCTCTCCCACAACCATAACAACCTGGAGTGTCAATCTGTCAGCTTGTCGATCTCGTTGGAAACTCGGACCGATGGACTACCGACTATTGAACAGCCGAGGGAGAGCTAGTCTAGGCCAGCCTCGCATACTCACGGTAGTAGGGCCTTCCCTGCCCCTCTGTTCGGTTTCCACGTAATCCTACGATGCAACCATGGGCACAGACGACTCGTCGCAACAGGATCCCGAGGCGATCAAGGCCTACATGCGGATCAAGCTCAACGACATCTCGGTCGCCATGGCTCATCCAGTCTCTTCCTTGAGCCACGTCTACCAACCCCCCACTCCGAGCGCGGCGACGTCTTTCCCCACCGGCACCTTGCCTACCAAAGTCCCCGTGGTCAGGATCTTTGGGACGACGCCGAGGAACCAGAGCGTATGTCTGAACGTTCATGGGATATGGCCCTACTTTTTCGTAGAGTATCCACCGGGGAGGAGCTTGGCACCGGAATCGGTTCATCGGTATACGCATCGTCTGGCCATCGCATTGAACAGCGCGCTTTGCCAGTCGTTGAGGCAAGATCCGTATGCCGCCAACTCGAAAGCTGGGGGTGTCAATACGTCGACCCTGCATGTATCCTCGGTACTGCTCTGTAAAGGTATCCCGTTCTACGGATACCACGTCGGATATTCGTACTTCCTCCGGATCTCGCTCGTCACCCCGTCACACATCTACCGGGCGGTCAACTTGCTGGAAGGAGGGAGCGTGATGAAGAACAAGTTTGCCGTGTACGAATCCCACTTGGCCACCAAGCTGCAGTTCATGGTGGATTTTGATCTTTATGGGTGTGGATGGGTGGATGTCGAAAGGGCCATGTTCAGGCAACCTCTACCTCGTGAGTGTGCGATGCAGAGCGGTACATGCCTGTCAGGATGATGTTGTGCTGAAGTGTAATCGTAGCTGGCGACCCGTACAGCGCGGACCGGGAAGGGATCTACGACGACCTCACAGTAGATCCCTCTATGTTGCACCCAGCTACAGTCGGCAAAGACACCTGGTCCCAGTTGGAGATCGACATCGTCCCCTGGCAGATCCTGAACCGCCGTCGTCTTCGCCCTCGGTACTTACATGACTCGCTCAAAGAACTCCTCTTTCCAGAAATGTTCGACCCGGAGGAGAAATACGTACGCTCGGTCAGGGAGTTGTGGAAGGAAGAATCGAGACGGAGGGTGGAGATGAATCTGCCAGCTGAGGAGGGGATGGTTCCCGCTACGGATGAGAGGATACAGAGGTCCGTCCCTAGTCAGGGGGATGTCGGGTTCAAGGGCGGGGTATGGGACAGTACGGAGATGTGGGAGCAAAAGCTGGACGAGAGGATCAGGGCCGAGGATGGGGAGAGGAAGAGGAATTGGGAGTTGAGGAATATTGGGAGACCTTTGCCGGCTGCTCTCGATCCGACCGCCGCTGGTATCTGGGACAAGGTGCGATGTCAGGACAGCTTGCACAGTCTACGTTGTCAGATGCTGACAGGTCTTGTTGCGTTGTAGTGGATTCCGACGACGTTCCAGGTGGTAGAGACCGGATGGCCAAGGGAGATGACGAGTTCACGTCGCACGCGGAGCCGAGGAAAGGGCGCTACCCAGTCGTCACCCCTGAAGGCCCGCGATCCTACTCAGAGGCCGACGTTGTACGAAGATGAAGACGAGGAAGAGCAGGCAGACGACGTCGATCTCGATGAGGAAAACCCGTTCACTCAGCTAGCGGCTTCGCAGAAGCTGCCTGCCGTAAAACACGCCGAGCAGGAAGAGGCGGAAGTCGAGGAAGAGGTCGATGATCTGGATGAGGACACTGTCGAGCTGATCGGGACGCAGTCGGCCAAGAAGTGGCACGAATCAGAAGAACGGGTGGAAGCCGAGATGCAAGGGTTTCGAGAGATGATGGACGTCACTCCGTCTAAACCGGGGTCTCGCCAGGTGGAAGCCGACCCAGATCTGGGTGACCAGGAAGAGATGCTGGACGACGATTTCGTAGGGCATCTAACGCAGATGCAGAGTCGCAGAAAGACGCAGGCGAATGTTCTGGATTCACCGGCCACCGCTTCTCGGAGAATTAGGGGAGAAGCTATCACACCTGAACCAGAGTCGCCTACCAGAAAGGGAAATAACCCATACTACGTCGACTCGCTCCCATCAACCCCGAGTTCGAGTCGGCATTCGACGCCGAGAAAGAACCTGTTCGGTCGTCAGCGTATAGCCACGCCATCTCCGCCTCGTCAGCCGTTCGCCATGGGCCCGAAAAGGACGCCCGGGATCTCGTTGTCCGGGCCGTCACCTTTCAAATCGCCATCCAAGCCTGTCACGCCCTCCAGACTTCGATTCGTTTCTACGGGACAGCCCTTGACGGTGGATGAGGAAGATGACGTCTTTATCGCATCGACTGCCAGAGACAAGCTCGTGGCTGCAGTACGGTTTGGGGAAGCTGCCGTTCCTGAAGTCGAGAGCAAGTCTAATAACGGCAGTGCGAAAGACCGTCAAAACTCGGACATGCAAGGCGATTTGAACGGAGAAGATGAGGAGGTTGCACCTCTGGCTCAGGTACCACGCCGATCGCCTTCGATGTCTCCTCCAGCCTCCTTACCTCGGCCTTCGCTGATCTCGCCTGCCTTGACCCCGCGTGCGACCCCTCGAAAACATCCAGCAACGTCGATTCTGAAGCGGCCGAGGCGCGAAGTCAGCGATGACGAAGACGGAATGTCTCAGCTGGAACCTACATACAAAGCTACTCAAGCGAAACGAGCCCGATTTGCAGCCGAGAGCTCGTCGGAAGAGGAAGGTATGATGGAACCGACTTATGTGTCTCAGTCGGCTACCCGCTCTGCGACAGGCAATTTGATCCCGGGAACCGGTCAGAGTCTGCGGTTGACCCGTCCCATCCAGAGCTCAACACAACGATCAGATTTGGAGATGCAGGATAGCGGAGTTGCGTTGGATGGAAGCCAAACCTCGGTTTCTGCCTCCACCGAGTCACACGAGTCGAGCGAATTGTTGGCTACCAACACCTTCTGCTATGCGCCGCAGCCTCCCTCGCGGTCGCATGTCGAAGCCACTATTCGCTCTTTTGGCGAAGTCGACATTATATACCAAAAACCATTCTTCTCTGCGCCTCAAGACCTGCCTTCGACCAAGTCCACATATGGTACACGCACTTTTCAGTTGCGTACCAACGGTATCGAAACCCTGTCGACCTTTTCTTTCGGAAGGGAGACGAGCCGCCCGCAGTTGCGTCATCTCTCCTATAAGAAGTCTGAGGTCCGGGGGATCGAGACCTGGATGTACAGAGCGGTACCACCTTCGAGATCTGACACGGCGCGCTGGCTTGCGGAAGAGGAACAACTGCGACTGAATGGCAAGTCCCTCGCATCCTAGTCGTCGTTTACTTCCTGGTCTGACTATCAGATAGACAGACGCAAGTCACGATACACGACAAAAGCTCGCGTCTCAGGCGAGTACTTTCATGCAGTCTGTTTTGTCAAAGCTCGAAACTGAACCTACTGTTTCACAATAGCTGGGCGAACCGACACAACTCAAATTCCGTTACAGCGACAGGAAGAAGGGAAGCAATGCCCAACGAGAGTTGCAGAGCCTTACATGTCTTACCTTGGACGTCTTCGGTGAGCGCCGAGTCGACGATGCGGCCTGAAAGCAAAACTCATTGGTATCCCTTACTTAGCGCCTTCCCGCGGGCGACTATTGCCTGATCCGAAACAGGATCCGATAGCCGCCGTATTTTACTGTCTGCAGGACTCCAAGGCGACCCTCAATCAACCCATCTCAGAGCACGGCTACTACACGGGAATCTGGATGGTTGAAAGCGAGAAGAACAAGTTCTCGCGATTAGGCAATCTACACGGCCTGTTTATCGAATACTTCGAGTCGGAACTCGACCTATTCAACGAAATCGTCGATCGCGTACGGAGCTGGGATCCCGATGTACTAGCCGGTTGGGAGGTTCACGGTTCGTCCTGGGGCTATCTCGCTGGGCGAGCGTCGGAAGAGTTCGGTAAGCAACACGAATTCGGTAGTCCGCAGCCACTGTAGCTGACTAGAGTCTACGCCGTATAGGTATGAACTTGTCGGACGAGTTCTCCCGTGTCAGAGCTTCTACATCGGCAGGAGGCCATTCAAGCTGGAATGTCACACAGAACTCTGCTTTCAAGGTTGTCGGGCGACATGTTTTCAACATCTGGCGTATCATGCGAGGAGACCTCAATCTTCTAGGCTATACTTTCGAGAACGTCGCATACCACCTTCTCAAACAACGGCAAGTGCGCGCTGCTGGGCAGGTCAGGGGGAAACAACGGCACTAATGCCCACTCTCTCGCAGCTTTCCTCGTTACTCGACGTCTAGCCTGACTTCCTGGTACAACAGCCAGTATCCAACCCATGTCATCAAGGTCCTTCAGTACTATGTGAACAAAACCAGCATGTACATGGAAATGATGGATGCAGCGGAAATATGCACAAAGAACGCGTGAGTAAATACAGCACCATGTTTGAGCGCTGGCTCATGTTTCTATACACGACACATGAAGCGAGTTCACTCGCGTTTTCGGCGTCGACTTCAACTCTGCGATGACTCGAGGATCCCAGTTCAAAGTGGAATCATTCATGTTTAGGATAGCGAAACCGGAGGGTTTTGTTTTGATATCGCCGTCACGAGAAGCTGTAAGTTGAAGCTCGCTTGATGGGATTTCAGCCGCTCAAGTTGAACTGCATTTCAATAAAACCAGGTTGGGAAACAAAACGCCGCCGAATGTCAGCCTCTAATACAAGAACCGCCATCGGCGTTCTACGAAGATCCTGTCCTAGTCTTGGATTTTCAATCGCTATACCCTTCGATCATGATAGGGTACAACTACTGTTATTCGACGTGTCTCGGACGAGTCGATCCTTTCCGTGGAACATATAAGCTCGGCTGGAGCGCTCAGCACATCCCAGAGGGTCAAATCGCGCTGCTGAAGGACCATATCACGAGTGTGTACGACTTCAGCTTGATGGAGTCTAGAAGTTGGTGACTAATCTGCAGACCAGTCTCACCAAACGGCCGGATATACGCCAAGCAAAGCCTCCGTAAAAGCTTGTTGGCGAAAATGTTGAGGGAAATTCTCGATACGCGTGTCATGGTGAAACAAGGCATGAAGACATCAAAGGGAAACAAAGTGGGCGCTCCGAATCGGCTGCGTCGCTATTGACGCAATGCTGACCGGACGTAACCCTTCGCAGTCTCTACTTCAGGTGTTGAATGCCAGGCAACTCGGTTTGAAACTGATGGCGGTAAGTCTTGCCGCGCAGCCTGCATGGCATGATTGCTGAATGTTATGCCACTCAGAACGTAACGTATGGATATACGGGAGCCAGTTTCTCCGGTCGCATGCCCTGTGTCGAGATTGCGGACGACATCGTCCAGACTGGTCGAGAGACCTTGGAAAAGGTTGGTGCTGCTAGCCCTCTACGACCTGGCCTTATATGGCTGACCTTGATCGCAAACTAGGCGATCCAGTTTATCGAATCGCAACATCATTGGGGAGCGAGGGTAAGTCTGAGATCCAATTGTCGGGCGGTGAGACTCTGGCTGATGAGCCGGTCTTTTGCAGGTCATCTATGGTGACACTGACTCACTATTCGTACTGCTCGAAGGTCGGACGATTCCTCAAGCTTTTCAAATCGGAAACGAGATGGCAGAGCAGATCACCGCTCGCAACCCACGGCCCATCAAGCTCAAGTTTGAGAAGGTGAGTCTCGGTGCGCCGTGACGAGAGGAACCCCACTCATCGTACATGCTGCTTGCAGGTATATACCAAATGCGTACTCGAGGCCAAGAAGCGCTACGTCGGTTTCAAGATGGAATCGATCGATGAGACGCCCTCTTTCGATGCAAAAGGTATCGAGACCGTCCGCCGAGATGGCTGCCCTGCCGCTCAGAAGATGCTGGAAAACGTCCTCAAGTGAGAACGAGCTAGTAGAGCTTAGGCAAATCAGGTGCAAGTTCTGATACCTTAGGCCTTTCTTCTCGCGTAGACTGCTATTCCGCAAGGCAGACTTGTCAGAGATTAAGAGGTATTGCATCGACGAATGGACCAAGATCCTCCAAGGCAAGATCTCGTTTCAAGACCTTATCATCTCGAAAGAGGTCAAGCTGGGCAGTTATAGCGAGAACGGACTACCTCCACCCGGGGCGGTCATTGCGGGCAGACGACTGGCAGAGGATCCTATGGACGAGGCAGAGTATGGGGAGAGAGTGCCGTTCATCATTACCAAGCATGGGGCTTCGGATAGGTTGGTACACAAGGCGAGGGCGCCAGAGGACCTCTTGAACGATAGGTAAGCGCGGGATCAACCGGGATCAGAGCGACAAGGCAGATGCTGATGCTCTGCCTCAACCGCCTTGCAGGAACATTCTGCCCGACACCGAATACTACATCACCCGTCAGATTATTCCCCCGATCAACCGGGTCTTGAAACTGGTCGGCGTGGACGCGGCGGTGTGGTACGCGCAGATGCCTCGAAGACACCTGGTCTACGATCGATTCAGGGTCAAGGATGGCAAGGGTAAGATGGGCAAGACGCTAGATGCGACGTGGAGGACGGCGCATTGTTTGGTTTGCGGAGTGAGGTGTGGGAAGGATCAAGGTGAGTTTCATGGCGATGGCACCTATGAGCTGGTTAGGAAATGGGAGAGCTGATATCGTACTTTATCTCTGCAATGATTGCTCTTCTTGAAACGCGCGCGGGGCAAATCTTGCAAATTGCAGAGGTGTGTGACGAATGCAAGTCCCCAGCCAACCTGGCCTCTAGCTTGCACGCGCTCTCGAGCCGGTACCACCTCTCGACGTCCCGGTTACTCTCGATACAACGTGCCTGTGCTTCGTGCGCATCGACGGCAGTATCAGAACACGTCAAGTGCGAATCGGTCGATTGCCCCGTACTATACGCTCGGGTCAAGGCGGGGAACGAGGTTCAGGATACGGAAGGATTGGTAGGCGTGATCAACAAGTTGGACAAGGAGGAACGAAAGGGGTGGAAGGGAGAAGAGATTGGGCCCGAGGTGATCTCGCTGTTGGACTCGGATGACGAGTGAGCGAGTGAGAATGGTTGTAAGTCGATTGAATGATCGAATGTCGATCTCAGTTGTATGTCGAATTGTTATCGCCGACGCTGCGCTAGTGCGCTTTGGAAAGGGGGGCGAGTCTGTTTTGAATCCGCTCATTCAGAATTCGAGCGCGTGACCTCTGGAAACATCAAGGGCGACGCGTAACAGTCCAAGAGAATAGCATCCGCGAGTCTGATCAGAGCAGAGACTCTTCGCATCCCTCGACCCCACCCTTGCCTTTGGCTCGGCCAATCCCCCTTCGAGCCTCAGCCTTGCTCCCCTCGCCACCTGCTGCTGCTGCTCGACCCTCACCCGAGCGAGGATATCGATGTCGCCATCGTTCATCGACATCGATCGACATCTACCTCACGCTCGCTCCCTCTCCTTTCCTTCTCTAGTCGTTCGTCGCTCACACTTCCATAAATCCTAAAAAAGAGAGAGTCTAGCAATCTCCACATCTCAACTCGCCAAGGAAGAAACAAACAGACGAAAAAAAGGCCAACTCTTTATTCAACATGGTGAGTTTCGCGGTCCTGGTCGGCGATCGACCGAAGGATAGACGGGACAAGAGGAACCAGGAGGATCAGCAAGATACTTCCACGGATGGATATGGCAGGACGATGAATACGATGGGGCAAGATTTAGGGGGCAATCGAGTCACGAGGGCAAATGGGAGGCGAATCGAAGGGGGTCGCATGACCAGTCTTAGCACGAGAGGACGATGGCCAGAGGCGGTCATTGGCCTCTCGAGCAGGATCGGGAACGTAGTTGATGTCGTTCGCCACTCAGTACCAAGCAATCGATGCTGGATTGAGCAGGCTCGGGTCAGGAAGCCGGTGGTGGCTAGCGGACCTGGTGGCAAGGCCGCGCGGCCGATTTTGGGGCATGAGAGCCGCTCGATGAGAAGGACATATATGGCACAGGCAATCTTTCGACCGCCATGAGCAATTGCGAGCGACAACAATCGACACCAATCGACCGGAACCTCGCCACTCGACTCGTCTATCCTCGGTCGATCCGCTCGACTTGTGTTTGGTGTTGCGGCAATACTAATTAACGACCATCCTTTTATCCAAACCCCTTAGACTCTCGCTATTGACCTCCTCCACCCCTCCGCCGAGGCCGAGCTCCGAAAGCACAAGCTCAAGCAGCTCGTCCAGGCCCCTAGGTCGTTCTTCATGGACGTCAAGGTGAGCACCTATCAGATTTCGGGATCTTGTCCTCAAGGCTGGAGCTAGTTTCGCTGACCCGGTGTCGATCGCTCTCCGTTTCAATTCTATCAGTGCCCTGGTTGTTTCCAGATCACCACCGTCTTCTCGCACGCCTCGACCGTCGTTCAGTGTGGATCCTGCTCGACCGTCCTGTGCCAGCCGAGCGGAGGAAAGGCCAAGTTGACCGAGGGTGAGTCGCCATCTCTGCGTCTACATCCCACCAATCCTTGCAACGTATCGCTGACCGGTATACGCTCTTCTTCGCTCGAACAGGATGCTCTTTCAGGCGAAAGCAGTAAACGGGAGGGTGATTCCTTTTCGTTTGTCTGTCACGCCCCCATCCTTTTGTGTGTCCTTGTCACCTATCCTACTTATGACGACCATCTATCATACACAAATAATCGGATACCGGGAGAATGGTTTCGGTCATGTGGCGGGATGTGAGAATGTGTTTCGGGGGGTATGAAGCGGGAAGGGGGGAAGCACGTTCGAGAGAATCCATCGAGGCTGTTGGACGTCGACAGACCTAGCGTATATGGCTGGGTCGGATGTGCTGAGCGATCGGAGGCCGTGCGGTCGGAGACAGAGTTTGTGGCGTCATGGTTTCCCGTCAATCGTTGAACACGTCAAACAAGATCGTATCGCGAAATCGAACCGGTTTCAGTATCTTCAGTTGATCCGGTATCCGCACAGCTTGACATCGTATTGTTACCAGACGTGTCTCTTCCGTACGGCTTTAAGTTCGATGCCGCTGGTATGCGAGAGAGGCGGTTCCGATCATGGTCCAATACAGTAAACACGGCTGAATTTCGAGATTCGGTCGAGCTGTGGCAATGGACGTAAGATTATTCTGCCGTGATAGTCAAGATCAGCGAATAAGGGATTGATTGTCGTCGCGTTCCCCAAGTCGCACGTTCCTTAGCATGAGGTTGAGAGGGTAGGATTTCGTTTACAGCTAGCACAAGATTCCGCGAATCAAGATGCAGTTCATCATACATTCGGTTGTCTTAGGCTATCGAAAGTCGGCGTCTGAATCGAAGTTGTGATCAAGTCGTTATCTTCAGATCGAGTGGTTAGAGCGCTTAAGATGTTCCAGGGGATGGTCGATATCGCCAGCGATAGAATGATACCAAGGTTAAGCGGATGGCTCCCGCTCATAGATTGGCGCGTTACGTGTGCAGCTACCTGTTTGGGCATTGAGAATTGCAGAGGATCATTCAGTAAGCCCAAACAGTTTAATAAAACCCTGACAAGCATTTCGGCCAGCGAATGATTGTAATATCCACCTGATGTGCATGGCAGGACATATTGAGACCCAGCAATCATCCTCATTGCAGCGACGATCGAGGCGCAATTAGGACGTTTCGTTCTATGGGGAGTGGAGCGATTTGTCGATAGAAGGTGGAATGTGTTATAGGAAAAGTGAGGATGCTGATGCTTTGCCAACACGCTTCTGATCACCTTTCGTGGCCTCAGGAAGTATTCACCTGTCAACACACAGAGCAAAACGGGACATGGGCAGCGCAACTGCAAACCTACAAAGAACAATGATTCTTCTCCTCTGCCTGCTTTAAGGGCGGCGCGATACGGTACATCTGGCATCAAACTGTCGAAGCTGTTACGAGATCGAAGGGGCCACTCTTATCCGATCCTCTCCTATAACACTCTAGGAGAGCGAGCCTGGATTCATCGCGGAATTGGGAAGATCACGCAGCTCGAGTCTTACGGTCGTCATATCAATTGTAATATCGTCGCCTATCCTGAAACACGATCGGATTCTTATGCGTTTTCATGGATGTCGGTATCGATTTTATGCGTTCTAGTCGACGCTTTCGCTGTTTTCCAAAAACCGCGAGTCGAGCCAGAGAGCAGGGCGAACAAGTGAGAACGGTCAAAGCTATACACACACAGACACAGACACACTCTTTTGGCTATAGCATTCTTCAGGTCTCTGCATCGCTACTGACTATCAAAATGGCATCCTTCTCATTGCCTCCCATCTACGACAACGAGGACAAGTCCTGGGGACCCAGCTCGAGCACCGTCCCCAAGGTGTTCCAAGAGTCAGTATAACTGAACAATGGAGCGGGCGAAATGTAGACTCGATAGACTGACGTCTCGAACCTCTTCACCTCTCGCAGTATCCCCTACGCTCTCCACTCAAAAGCTGATAAGATCAACCACATTGCCGACTGGTCGACTGAGTCTACCAACGCCGAACAGGGTCCTGGAGGTCGAAACGCTCGACAGGGCGGTACCCGTGGGGGAAGGCGAGACGCCTACGGAGTGTCCGCCTCGACTGCCGCTGGAAACGCCTTCGGTTACGTTCACGACGAGGACGAAAAGTCGTTCTCGCTCGTCGATTCGGGTCGGGCCGGTGCTGGGGCCACTCGGGGACGTGGAAGCGGTCTCTTCCAGAACAGGGGTCGAGGGAGGGGTGCTGCCCGAGGGTCTGTTGGGTTCCGAGGTGGACGAGGTGGATTCCAGGCGGGTGGTGCTAGGGGTGACGGTCGACCCGAGAGGGGTGGATGGGGTACTTACCGTGGACGAGGCAGGGGCGGTTACGGCGGTTGGGACAAGGTGAGCAGTAGATGCCATCCATTCGATCTCGAGGCGATTTACTTACCAGCTTCCCCGAATTTCCTGCATACGATACAGCCCCAGCGAGTCCGTGACTGGTCGATCACCATTGGACCCGAGTGGCAGATGTTGGAGGAGATCACCTTCGCTCGTCTGCAAAAGCTCAACCTCAACGTCCAGGAGCCCGAGGACCTCTCGATTCACGGAACCATCTACTCGTACGACAAGGCATTCGACGCCGTCAACACCCGAAACGACAAGCCTCTCCAGATCATCGACATGGTCAAGTACAACACTACGACTAGTGATGACCCGGTCATTCACTCGGTGAGTTGACCTTTTCAATGACATTGACCATGTTGACCATGACCTCGCTGACCGGGAATATCTCATCGATAGCTTGCTGAGAAGAACGAGGCGAACGTTTACACCACCGATGCCATCTTGTCGGTATTGATGACTGCCACCAGGAGTGTCAACTCGTGGGACATTGTCATCGTCCGAGAGGGCGACAACGTCTACCTCGACAAGCGAGAGGGAGGACCCTTCGGTGAGCCCAGCTGTGACGTCTACAATTTTTTGGTTTCACGCTGATCGTCATCCGAGATGCTGTCAGACTTTGTTACCGTCAACGAAAACGCAGCCGACCCCCCTGCCGACACTGACAAGCCCGATGCCATCAACTCGCCCGCTTCGCTCTCGCTCGAAGCCACCTACATCAACCAAAACTTCGCATGCCAGGTCGTCGACCAGACCAAGCGAAAGGCCTTCAAGGACCCGAACCCCTTCTACTCTACCGAGGAGACCGAGCCCTTGGCTTCGTGTGCCTACCGATACCGAAAGTTCGACCTCTCGCTGCAAGCTGAGCAGGAGGCTACCGACAAGGTCAAGATGGTCGTCAGGACCGAGGTCGACGCTTACCAGAACAAGAAGGACCAGTACATCACCATCAAGGCCCTTAACGAGTTTGACCCCCGAGCTCAGGGTAGCGGCAAGGCACCCGACTGGAGGAGCAAGCTCGACGCTTCTCGAGGTGCCGTCGTGGCCACCGAGATGAAGAACAACAGCGCCAAGCTGGCTCGATGGGCCGTCCAGAGCGTCTTGGCCGGTGCCGAGACCATGAAGCTCGGATTCATCTCGAGGCAGAACCCCAAGGACCCCCAGAGGCACACTATCGTCGGTGTACAGAGCCACAAGCCCAGGGACTTTGCCGGTCAGATGGCCGTCTCGCTCGCCAACGGTTGGGGTATCGTCAGGATGATCGTCGATCTCTGTATGAAGCAGCCCGAGGGGAGGTACGTTTTGGTCAAGGACCCCAACAACGTGAGTCTCGCCGGGGGCCTAGGTGCACGACGTGTTGTTGCTGATCGCTTCCGCACACCTGAAATATTTGCAGCCTCTTGTCCGATTGTATGCTGTGCCTGCCGACGCTCTCGAGGCTCTCGAAGAGCAGGAAGAGGACGAGGAGGTCGACGAGGACAACCAGGACTTGTAGTTGTAATATACCGATGCAACGTAATGATAGAATGTTCGCGAACTCGCTGCATATGCTTTTTGAAGAATGATGAGCGTTCCATGTGCGGACTGTTGTAAGGCCGGGCAAATCTCTACGGGACTACGTCCTGCGAGGAGCACGACTCCAAGTGAATGCCAGATCTGAGTTGAGCAGGTCCGAGGGTTTCGGGTGACGGACTGCGATCATATTGCTAAGTACTCGTTGTATCGCCGGATGTCAGCAATTTCACTCGATCGATTCTGATGGAAAGACATTCGATCAGTCGAACCTAGACAGTGATTTGACAACATGCCGAGTGAGAAGGCCAGACATAAGTCTTTGCCGTCTCAGGTATGGCCTTGAACCTGATAAAATATAACCTCCCTCTGTGTTCGTGTTGGTTATCACAGGTCTCCTTGTTGACGTCTTCATTGCAAGGGGTAACTAGAGCCGAAGAAGGGGGCATCCGTGGATAGGGCAGTGAGAGCGATCTAGTAACGGCCAAGTCCCATATTGATGTTGGATGGGCGGATGAGGATGATGTAGGGGGTCATGTCTGACCCGTTTCTTCGATTGTAAGGGATTTCCTTGCGCCTTGCGTTTCAACGTCATGTTCAAAAGCTGAGCTCTGATTATTATAAGTAGTCGTACATATCGCGTATATACGAGACGAGCTGTGAGAGGCGCGACGAGAACAAAGATTTCAATTTTGAGAAATGATGATTGAAGAAGCAAGAAGAATACAAAACGGACCAGTGGTTCAAATTGTTGGTCTCTGCATCCTAAAGGCCTAGTCATTGAGCGGCATGCCCGCTGCGTTCCTAGCCTTCGCAGTAATGTACCCCGCCTTGCGGTATATCTTGTAGGGTTGGATCCGTCGCATCTGCCTCTCAAAGACCTCCTTCTCTTCCCTGTCATTCTTCTCATTCTCCCATTGCTCCTATGGTAGAACGTATGCCAACCGTCTGGCTAAACATGGCTAAGAACCTTGGAAAAACGCCGGGCATGTTGCGTCGGGTCGTATTATTGATTGGATCATAAAAAACTTGACAGCGCCAGTCCGCAGACCATCGGTTTTCTCTTATTGAATGTCTGCTATCTACTTCTTAGAGACGGCAGCGGCCAGGTCCTTCAAACCTTCGGTCCTCTTGTACTTGGCGTCAGCCAAGACACCTATCGAAGGAGCGGGAAACGAGATTGCTTTTCAGTTGATGTTTTCCGAGCGTACATATATGAGAGAAATCACTCACCAGCGTCAGCATCACCGCTGAAAGATCCAGTCCACTGAACAAAGGTGGAACCCTGCTCGGCACCGGAAGTGACGGGGAAGAGACGGATGGTGCTCAAAGACGAGGTGTAGGAGAGGGCAGGCTCGGAGGAGATGATCGAGAAGGTGATAAAGTACTCGAGCGAGCTGTGCTCCTCCTGCTTGACCTCCTGGATGGTTCCGTCCTGTGAACATAATGGTACAACGTATGGGTGAGCTATGCGCTTCGTAACAAGGTGGTATGCCGGTTCAGCTGGAAACGCACCTTGAAGGTGAATCGGTAGATGTCAGTCTCGTCAGAGGTTCCCTTGACGACCTCGGACTTTTCGAGGGCGGACCACCATTGAGAGAACGAGGGGAGCTTGATCAAGTGCCAGACGTCGGTCAAGGGCTGGATGAGAACGAATATGAGGCAGAGTGAGCGCGATGGAGCGAGGTCGACCCCGGAATGTAAGGGATACGTACGGCCTTGATGACGGCGGACTCGACCATGTTGGTCGAAACGGGGATTCCAGCGGCGGGCATTTTTGGAAGGTTGTATATGTTCGTTTGGTAGAGATTCGATAAAGGTGCTGGGTATATTCGCAGAGATCTCGTATGCGATCAAGACGATTCAAGACGGTCGTGATCGACCTATTTCTTGGCGATGACATTCTGAGAATTCTGACGTCAAGGCGCGCGTGACGTGATCAATCTGCGCTTCTATCTGCGAACTGTGCTTCTACTGGGGGTCTAATAGCTACGACCCGTTGAAACGACCCTCTCGATCGCAGCGACTGCGCGCGATGATACGGATGACGAAGAGTACAGACGATAGCTGATAAAAAATGCAGGATCATATCGCTGGATCGCTGAACAGGATATTAGGTCGAGCCGCGACGACCGTACCATAGGGTCTGCTATGACTGGAGACCCCCGCGCGCGCGCAAAGGTCCCTTAAACACGGCCTACATGACTTGTTTCCAAGTGATCTGGGCGTAGGGGGTATAGTTCAACCAAAATAAAAGCTTTCACCGGCCGTTGTCAGAATAACAGAATAACTGCAAGTTGTTGCTGATTCGCCTCCGTCGACTGAGAGAACCTTCCTTGTAACCGCTATTAAATCAGCGGGTCATTGACCCGCCTAGCACCACGCCAGAGGAAGAGGGGGATCAGAAAACCTACCGGTTTCCTTTCTTTTTTGCCTTGTTTTTTCTTTTACATGCGCAGACGTGTCGTATGGATGATCCTTTCGATGTGCGGCCCATCTGCCATCTGCTTGTCATCATGACAGGCTACTAGCTTCGTAATACGATCTGAACCAGGCCAAGATCCGCATCGACAAGGAGGGCGTTGACGTTCGTCGTTCATGCCCAGCTGAATGTCATCGCCCTCTGTCCATTAAACGCGTCGCGTCGACGCGTTCGTGCGAGAGCGACACCCAACTTGCTGCTTGCTGCTTGCTAGCTCGAGCTGATCCTCGCGAAGTCGGTCATCTCGTACCCTTCCAACCTTGTAGCTTGCAGACCAAAGTTCACAGGATCCATCACCTCATCCTGGTTCATACAGACTCGGACCTACATCTAGTAAAGAACCCTCGTCAAGATGCCCGTACCAATGCCTGCTCAAGGGTGAGTGGATTCTAGGCTTTTGGCTCTAAGCACTCTGGTGACCTTAACGGCTGACTCGGCTATGCTTGTCACCTATCTTCGCAGCCTCCAGATGGAAGACGAGTAGGTCCTGGTGATAAGAAGCCAGCTATCTGTTCTACTGGCTGATATCGAGAACGCTCATTGCCATAGTGCCAAGTCCCCCGAGGTCATGCTCGCGTTCTACCGTCGGCTATTCCCGTACAAACCGTTCTTCCTCTGGCTTAACCAGGAGCATGGTGAGCATGGTTCTCGCCTAATATCAGAGAATCAGAATCAACAGCTGAAATTTAGTCTCTTTCCGACGATGCCAGTACCTTCCCGACTCTTTACGCACCGGGAATTCGCATTCACGCTAGGGGAATCGACCTATGTCCGATATAACAGCTTCAACAATGTCGAGGATTTCAAGAAGGAAATCTTGAGGGCGAATCCTACCCGTTTCGAGATAGGACCGATCTACAACGTTCGGGTGCGTATGTTCATTGTTGAGCTATGTGACAATCATTGGTGCTGAGGCTCTTTAGCTCATCTCGCAGCCACGAGACCGTAAATCGGTTCCTCAGCACGTCCTTCGTCCAGAACTTCGAGAACTCGTCTTTGATATCGACATGACGGATTATGACGAGGTCAGGACGTGTTGTTCCGGAGGAAACATATGTCGGAGATGTTGGGGATTCATCGCTGCGGCAGTCAAGGTGTTGGACCAGAGCTTGAGAGGTGAGTCGACAAGGAGGAACAAAATCCGACCAGGCTTGTCTAAGCTGACCGAGATCTAATCGCAGAATCGTTCGGCTTCAAGCATCTCCTTTGGGTCTACTCTGGACGACGAGGAATTCATTGCTGGATATCGGATCGACATGCGCTATCCCTGACGGACGATCAGAGGAGGAGCCTGGTGCAGTTTCTCGAAGTCGTCAAGGGAGGCAAGGAGGTCGCGAAAAAGGTCAATGTCAGGAATGGGAACGATATCGGGCCGCTGAATGCCAATATCGAGTGAGTCGAAGATTGGGTTCGTCTTGATGAGTGTCCGATACTGAAGAAACCGCCGATTGCATCTTGCAGGCACGCTCTCGATACGATCAAGGCGGATTTCGTGCGGATCGCCTTGATGGACCAGAACTGCTTTGCCGAAGAGAAGGGGACCGAGACGTTGCTGACCTTGTTGTCGGTGGATCGAGGTCCGTCAGCTTAGTAATATATGCATCAGCGAGTCGATTAACTCAAGCTGACACCCGAAATTGTTACGTTAAACCTGACGCAGATACTGCCGATTCATGGCGACGGAAATGGTCGTCTTCGGGCGTCTCTAGCATGGACAAGTGGCAGGAAATCATGTCGTACGGTGCCAAATTGATGAAGGCGGGTGCGAACTCTGCTGCTTTTGTACGTGATTGTGTGATTCGAGATCGCTGTGTTCCCGAGGGCCAGACCCGCTGACCGGGAACTGCATTTGTTTAAACAGCGAAAGTTCTCAAATTCTACAGAAGATCTCATCCTTCAATACATGTACCCGCGGATCGACGCAGAGGTCTCAAAACGCAGGAACCATTTGCTGAAGAGTCCCTTCGTCATCCACCCCGGCACAGGTGAGTTGTGGGGAAAGACTTGACGGTGACCTTGTAACTGACCCATTTTCGGTGCATAGGGAGAGTGTGTGTTCCTGTGGAAGTTAGCAAGGTCGATGATTTCGAGCCTACTGCGGTACCAACAGTCGGACAGCTATTGCGCGAACTTGACCGACCTGCAGGGAACGTAGCAGTCAAGGGCGAGGACGGACAGGACGAGGCAAGAAAGCTAGAGCATGGTAAGTCCACTTTGGGTGGTAGCGTGCGGATGGGGTCTGATTTCCAAGTTAACTCTGTGTCCAGACTATGAGAGGACGAGCCTCAAGCCGTATATCGATCTCTTCGAGAAGCACGTCTCAGCCGTCATGCGGGACAATCGCGAAGCCAAGAAGGTCGTTCAGGACAGCAAAGTGTCACTCGACTTCTGATCAGTGAAAGCAGTTGTAAAGTAAAGTCGTTCATCCATCATCATTATACCTCGCTCGAGCCGAAGTTGCATTGGTGGTCATTTGTGATGCGTGCTGCTAATGCGATTCGAAATGATTTGGATGTTTTCTAATGTTCGACAAGACTTGCTCAACCTAATACAAATTCTACTGCTTTCCCAAAGCGCCGGCAACCCGCTTTCGTCTGAAGACCTGGTTGGGATTCGGTGCGGATCCCGGTGCGTTGCAGTCCCAGGCCTGAGAGATTGGGTTAACGTCAGCCGGGATCTTTGCGTCGATTCGCAATGACCGGATCTTACCTGAACCGAAGTTCCCCAGTTGTACTGTCCCCCGGGCGTGGGAATATCCAAACAGGCATCACAGTCTCGGTCTGGAAAGTGGGAACCCGACAGCGATCAATGACAGCAAACATAGGGTAAAGACGGTCCGGTCAGGCACTTACGTTGGTGAACCATTCGGATCGTGCCGTCGGGACTAAACTTGAAGTCTTGCGACATGATGGGACGCTAGCGATGTAAAACGGTAAGAATCGATTGAGCAATACGCAGGGAATCGGAAGAGCCTACCCCTTGATCCTTGTAGCATTGGTACACCTGACGATCTAGCAGTTAGTACTGTATAAAGCAGCTGGCAACACGATTCAATATTGGTCTCACCTTGAACTGGTTAGCATTTTGAGGGCCCTGGTTGCCCTGCGCGACGGTGCCGCTGTCCACGCAGAAATTGGATCCAGCGAGGTTGATGGGAGCTTCACAGTCGTCGCTGATGGGCAAAGCCCAAAGCTGACCGGCGTTCTTCTCGTTGCACTCTTCAAAGATGACTTGCTGGTCGTTCGAGAGCCAGTTGCTGGTCTCGCGAGTCTGCCCGTTCTGCACGATCGTGTCGACAGCCAGACAGAGCTTCTGGTTGATCTGTGGGGAGATCTGGAAGAGAGCGTAACCGTCGGGCAGGGGCTGCTCGAAAGGCTTGGGTTGCTGGCACTCTCCCTTGCATTGCCCGGGTGGAGGTGGTCCCGTCGGACCGGTCGGCTGAGGCTTGGGCTGAGTTTGGAGCGACGTGGTGGTAACGGGTTTAATGGTAGTCTGGACCGGAGGTTGGGAAGAACCGCCGCAAGGGGTGTCGCCACATTTATCAAGAAAACCTTGTACAGCCGTGGGATCCGTAGGCGCCGCGGTGACCGCAAGCGCCGCAAAGACGGAGAGCAAGACGAATCTGGAAAGCATCGTATACGTGATGATAGGTCAGGTGAGTTGGTGGAGTCGGAAGAGGATAGGAGTTGGATGGAGTGGGGTAAGTCTAACGTTGTGTGATCGAGGTCGTCTAAGTGAGAATACAGAGCGCTTCTGCAAATCCAGCTAGTCCTGCATTTATGCGATTGGCACTCTCAACGGGTCCTTCGTGAAACGATACGTCCGATTCTCAAACACGTTCGACCCCTGGCACGACCAGACAGTGCTCCTGATCATCCTTTCACCGTTGTCCTTGTGTTTTCAGGAGCGGACGAGACTATGCTAAAGCTGCGACCAAGATGAAACATCTAGCATCTCAAGACGGAGGCAGATCCGAGTCCGGAGTCTCGTGCATCGACGCGTGAGAAACGCTTTGGATCGGGATTTCGCGGGCTTATAAATGGGGTTCTCCCTTTGTTCCATCGGCGGGACGCTGCAAGTCTACGCTCAATAACGTAATCAGCGGTGGCTTGGTCTCGTGGTTGCCTTCGCCGTATACGTTTGCTTCCGCAACATCCCTCTTTCCTCCTGGCCCTCCCTCTGGCTCGGCTTGCGACTCCTTCCTCTCCTGGCCGTCCGCCTCCTGCCAGCGTCGACGAGGGGGAATGAGCCAGCGATGCAATCACCCTCACTCATCCCCCCCACACAAACACATCAACTCGCATCACCTTCAACCTTTCTTGATCCTATCGTCCTCGCAGAGATCTCCAACGCTTCATACTCGAATACTACCACTCGGACTACCTTCCAACCACTCTATCCAGGTAAGCATCGCTCTCGCCGGTCGCTGCGCAAAGTTCGGGAACCACCATATCGCCTTCTCGCGTCATCACAAAAGGCATGGCGACCTGGGGCATTCCGTTTGGGATGGGAGACGAAGTAGACGCCTACTCGGACTTGCATCCAAACCACCACCATTTGAATGATCCGGAGAGAGCGAGAGAGTTGGCGAGCGCAGCTGGCTATCGGATCGTGAAAAGCGGCACGAAGCAGATTCTGAAAGGACCATCTGGGAGCGGAATGATGGCGAGTGGCTATGTCGTCCGACACCCCTGGCCATCTCTTCATATCGTCTTCCCGGAGGTTCGAGCGTTCGACCATCTTTACACGACAAACCAATTCGAGGATGATTCATACCCTCTTACTTTCGGACGTGTGCTGATCATCTTGCATCTCGCTATCGCCATGCCTTCCGTTTTGGGATTTTGTTTACGCGTCATCGTATCGCGATACCAATCCGCTTCGCCTCATTCGACGACGTGATCAACACCATCAAACCTCTTTGACCATCCCCGCTACAACTATGGACACACTTGTGCTTCTCTTCTCGGTTTGTGGTATCATAGATCACCTATCACAGTGAGTCGCGGTTCATTGCTTCTTGACTTAAGCGGCGATGATGGGTCTCCGGCTACATCTGTTGTGACAACGCTGATCACATCATTGATATGCGTTGTTAGATGCCTGCTTCCCGTGAAGACTCCGTTTACCTCGCCAAGCTCGCCGAGCAGGCTGAGCGATACGAGGGTGAGAGTTATTCTGATTCTCTAATTGCGATTACTTGCTGACAGATGTTCCCGCCTGTTGCAGAGATGGTCGAGAACATGAAGTCGGTTGCCGCCTCCGACCAGGAGCTCACCGTCGAGGAGCGAAACCTCCTTTCCGTCGCTTACAAGAACGTTATCGGTGCTCGTCGTGCTTCGTGGCGAATCGTCTCCTCCATCGAGCAGAAGGAGGAGTCCAAGGGCAACGAGGCCCAGGTTTCGATGATCAAGGGATACAGGGAGAAGATCGAGGCCGAGCTCGCCAAGATCTGTGAGGACATCCTCGCCGTCCTGGACAAGCACTTGATCCCCTCCGCCCAGACCGGAGAGTCCAAGGTCTTCTACCACAAGATGTGAGTCGTGCCGCTCATTTCTTGGTTCACGTCGAAAGTCCCTTGTGCTGACGAGATTATCGAAACAGGATGGGTGACTACCACCGATACCTCGCCGAGTTCGCCACCGGCGACAAGCGACACACTTCTGCCGACAAGTCGCTCGAGGCTTACAAGGCCGCTTCCGACGTCGCCATGGCCGAGTTGCCCCCTACCCACCCTATTCGTCTCGGACTCGCCTTGAACTTCTCGGTCTTCTAGTGAGCTTTTCACTTCCACCTGTCAGGGTTTCGCTTATTTCATAGGGCTCACTTAATCTTGCATTACTCTAGCTACGAGATCTTGAACAGCCCCGACCGAGCTTGTCACCTTGCCAAGCAGGCCTTCGACGATGCCATTGCCGAGCTCGACACCCTCTCGGAAGAGTCTTACAAGTGAGCTCTTGTGATCGATTGCGCAGCTCGAAGATATGTGCTGATTCAATTCGTCACAATTCCTAGGGACTCTACCCTGATCATGCAATTGTTGAGGGACAACTTGACCTTGTGGACTTCGGATATGGACAGTAGGTCAACTTCTGTTGAGCCCGTTCGGTTCACATCGCTGACCCCTGGTCTGCTATCAATTAGACGCCGAGAAGGAGGAGGCTCCTGCCGCCGAGACCAAGGCCGAGCCCAGCGCATAAATCCCCGTAGTCCAGGTGCAAAAGGAGGAACGATGAGCGTTTTGTGATGTTACGGGCTTTTTGTTTCTACCCTTTATGTTTCTTCTCGTTAGAACCTCGGGCGGTCTTGCACCTCCTTGGAGAGTTCACCCTCATGTCTTCTTTCTCTGTGTTTTGAGATAATGAATATCGGATTCGATCAACGACAATTTTGACGACTGGGCGCCCTTGTCGCGAGTGGCCTGACGTGATCGGGTGCCGCGTCATCTGGGATCATCCGTAACCTGGAGACTGAGTGCAGAAAACGAATCTCCGGTAGCTAGACGAGTAGTAGGGATCCAAGTTTTTTTTTATCTACCTACCAAGCCTACCCAACTACTATCCCGACACTGGTACACAGCATCTAGTATTCATATTACAAAGCGCTGCAGATCGATCATGAGATCGAATCAGCTGGTTTGAACAAGGGGGAAATGTCGTCTCCAGCGTCGTCCAGCTCGATATATCAACGCCTCGAACCCTTTATAATCGACTTGAAGAGCTTGATAACTATACTGGCTGCAGTCGTTCTCCAAATCGAAGCCGCACTTTTCGCCCTCGGATTGCACCCTGGCTACCTCATACATCGCTTCAGTACATCAATGCAGCGTCTGACGAGCGTTCTTGGCTACGGCAATGTCAATCTGCAAGGCCAGAGCAGATCAAACCGGGAAGATGATGCAATTGGAAAGGTGGTCAACCGTGACAAGGCTCGTATTGGATTGAGGAAGCGAAGAGCGGTGGTAGCGGATGTTCAAGAGCAGGGTTAGTAGCCATTTCACTATGTTCGGCGAGATCAAGCCAGAAGCCCTTTGACGAGCTCATGAACTCCTCGGGGAGATAGGATCAAACTATCCTGGGATGGTCAACCTTTCCGGCACATTGTGTTACATGAACTCGATACTGCAGGTCAGTATGAAGCAGTGATATCTTCAACATATGGACCTCTAATCTGACATTGTCTAACCTCTGCTCTAGGCTTTCGCATCTTTGACGTATCTAAAGTTGTACCTGGATCAAATCATCTATTTGGCTGAGGAGGTGGATCTCAATACGCCAATTATCGATGCCTTGGACTCCACGCTGCAAGGTGAGCCTGCCTGGCTCCACTAGAAACTTGGAGCATCGAGCTCAGAATTTCGGCAAACTCATACAGAACTCAATACGCCGTGCTCCTCACGTCCCGCTCCTGTCCGCCCATATCATTTCATCGAGGCACTGTCCCAGCTACCATCAGTCCGACGGCTCTTGCAGACACGAGAGCATCAAGATGCCCACGAACTGTTCCTGTTGCTCACGAACGCTGTCGCCGAAGAACTTAAATCGCTGGAGAAGGAGAGACGCATAGATCGAGGCCTGTCCGTCATTCTCGACGGTACCAAAATCCAGCGTGATAAGGACGGGAACAATACCATACAAGTCATCAAAGACAAGGGCATCGAAAAGGAACGGCTACTGTCACCTTGGGAAGGTCTGACCGCTATCAGGCGGAACTGTTTGGTTTGCGGTTGGTGCGAAGTGATCCGACACGAGGTGACAGGGGCGATCGATGTTACGGTACCGATGAATGTGGGTCGCACACAAAGCATGCCAAGAGCGCACACGGCTGATGGCTTGCTTTCTTCTGAATTCAAGGGTGCAGCGTCTATTCAAGAATGTCTACAGCAGTCGATGGCACCTGAGATCATTGACGATGCATATTGCGACTCGTGCACTCTGAATTTGACTATCAACTATTACATTTCGGAGGATCAACGGCTTTCCGGGAACAACCCTGATATTCCAAACGGTTCCTCAGTGGTCAACAAAAAGATTGACAAACCGGTGCGATTAGCCGTCGAGTCTGTCACACCTGCCAGCCTGCTATCCGAACCCGCACTAGAGACCCCGCGGCCGTCAGCAAAGCCTACTTCCGCGAAAAAGCGGCGAGCTCGAGATGCCAGAGCTTTGCTCCGCAAACTCGAAGATGTCAAAGCTCAAGGAAGCATTGGAGAGATAGTAGGAGAAGGCAAAGCGAAAGCGCGAGATTTGGGTCTGCAAGATGTCAAGTGGGTCAAGGGGCAAGGCCCGAGCTCGCGAATGAGCATGATTGCAAGGGTAGGTCGCACTATGGAATCTTGCCCTCGAGTCATCGCTTACAGCCTCAATCCTACCTACAGCCACCGCATATCCTGACTCTTCATCTCAATCGTTCTGGATTTACCCCCTATGGTCAAATCGTTAAAAAGACCACGCAAATCGCTTTCCCCCCTGTTCTCAATCTATCCCCATTCACAACATCCGGCATGATCACCATGGACTCGAAACAACCGATATCAACCATGGACGGCGGTATAGACGCAGAGTCACAACAGACACCAAGCGTACTGTATCGCCTCAACGGTGTCATCTGCCACTACGGATATACGCACAGCTTCGGTCACTTTGTCGCATACCGACGCAAACCCGAACCTACAGTCAGACAGCATGCAGACAGCGTTCTTCACCCTCGCGGCCGGTGGCTTCGGATCAGTGACGCGGATGTCAGCGAAGTACCAGAGAGCGCCGTTCTGGGGGAGCGCAGTAATGCGTTCCTCCTATTCTACGAAAAGCTTGCGAACGAGTCATCAAGCGATGAGGGAAAATTACCTTTGGATCGCTTGGATGGTGCTGAGCACAGTAATGGCGTTGGAATACGAGAGGATGCAGGAAGAAGCATTCTGGACGCCCTGAAAAGGCAACAGGCAGATTCGCCGCAAAATGTAATAGCTCAGAAACCCGTGGACTCCCTTGACTAGGGTCTGGCTCTATAAACCCCTCCCCAACCGAGGGATGAGAACGCATATGCACTATCGTGTGTCTGCAGCATGACTCATACCCCCCCTCGGCATCAGAGCGATCCGTGATCTAATCGTAACGAACATGAACGAGTTCCTATCGTCCTGACCAGCCTGTATATCCAAACCGGTCACATTTTATAGAGTTTTTGTATCTCTCCGATCGAAATCATGGCCGACTCGGACTTCGGCAACGACATCCCGTGCGATTCCGTACCACCGGAGCTCAAATCAACATGCGAACAGATCCTCAAGAGAGCGCGAGAGTTGCGGAAGGCAGACCCAGTCATGTGTTACTGGTGTGAGTGACATTACATGTAATCTAATCTTGGGTACATATGCAAGCTCACCTGATTATTGATCGAAAGGTTGCTTCTCGGCGGCGAATTCGGCCATGAACGTGCAATCAAGATCATCCGAAGGGACGCAATTCCTCATTAAAGTGCTTGACGTGCTGGAATCAGTGAGTACATCTTCCAACCAGATTACATTCTTGTATGATTGCTGAATTCCTCATCTTAGATGAAAGCTAGCTTGATTTCGAGTGACTCGATCGAAACCGCCACGATAACGGACGAGTCGGCTGGTAGTGCATACGTGGAGAGCTTTGCCATAAAGGTGTTCTTGCAGGCCGATGATGAGGATAGAGCAGGAAAGGCGGGGAAGTGAGTTTGACATGACGCTCTCATCAGAGTTTGCAATACTGAGTTGATCATCCCATATGATAATGCTTTGTTCCAGGAGCACGATTCGTAAATTCGTAGTAGCGGCTCAGTTCATCGAGGTACTTCGGTCCTTTGAGGCACCTTTCGGAATGAGGGAAGAAGTGAGCGTGATCAGTCAGGTCGTTCATGGGAAGACGCTGAACCGAGACATGTGCTTGTTTTCGATTCTAGATGGAACAAAAGCTTCAATACGCACGATGGAAAGCCGCTGATATCGCCAAGGCCCTAAAGGAGGGAAGGAAGCCTATTCCGGGACCTCGTAAGCTAGCGGCATGCTGCTCGTTGAACATGACGTGTGATATTAATGCTAGATCCGTCTCTTCGGCGAAGCTGGTGGCGATCCAGAGTCTAGCTTGGCTGAAGAGGCTGCAGCAGACAAGGTCGCTGAGAACAATGCAGTTGCCATCGGGTCGTCCTTCCCCGTCGACCCGCCTTCGTTGATACAGCCGAGTAGCTCAGGTAGCGGCTTCAGTCAGGGGCTGCCTGTGCCGGTGCGTCACGATTCTTCGGGAAGCGGTGCCTGGAGCACCGCTGCCACGCCAGGTGTCAGGGACGAAGACGAGTCGAGAGATGGCCTGGGGATCGGCGCTGTTAGTAGACCCAACGCGGATGTAGCAGCTACGGGACCATCCAAAGACGAAGGCGAGACCCCGTCAAGACGAGGTTCGAATGCCGACAGAAAGAATGTGCGTTTCGCCGGGCCAGACGGGGTTCCGCTGAGTCCAGCCGAGACATTCGTATCGATTGATTCGTATGTCGCCCCGCTTGGTCCTCCGCCGACTGTGTTGGGGGAAGATGATGCTGGGAAGCAAACTCCATCGGTCCCCAAACCTACAACCGGATCTACCAAGACTCGGATCGAGACAAGCGATGCCACCAAGGATCTTCCCTCGACTCCCATGAAAATGCCGCTCGTGGATAGGACACCGTCTGCACCTCCGCCATCTCCTCCCGCAGCAACGCCTGCCGTCGTCCAACTGGATACCAAGTCTATCGAACGCTGTCAGAAGCATTGCAAGTGGGCGATTAGCGCGCTCGACTATGAAGATCTGGAGACGGCGCGATCGGAGCTTCGCAAAGCCCTAGCGATGCTTGGCGAGTGAGCATGGGTACAGAGAACGAGGAAATCGTGGCTTCTGCGCGGGAACTTGGGAAAATTCGACTTTTCATGACGACTTTTAGTTGTATCCGGTAGTTTCATCGTATATCTGGCAGTAACGAACGGATAATATCGATCTTTCTCGAGAGCCTGCTCTTCTCTGGTCGAAACGATTCCTCTCGTAATCTTAAACATGACCGTCCGTGCTCCTTGGTAGCGAGTCACGCTGCATACAGGTTTGATGCCGATGCATCCATCGTCACGGTTGTCAGAACCGGTATGACGGCTTTCGCAGAGCGAGAGGTAAACGCTAGAACTGTGCGGATCAGCGTCAAGAGAAGATGGGAATTTCGAGTCGGGGAATGGATGGGCGAACGAAGCGGGGTAGAAGGAAAAGGGATCACGAGAAAAGGAAACGAGGAACTTGATGTGGTATCCCGGTCCTGATCCAGATTTTGGTGAAATGGAAATGAGTGCTGTTCACAGCGATCAATAATCACTATACGAGAGAGGCTCATCGTTTCTCACTTCTATCAGGGGTCATCTCAATGTCGTGATTCATGAGCGTGAGACCAAGGCTAGTGGACCGTCAAGTACCATTCCTTATAGACCCAAGCGGTTCGAGAGCTCATACTCTCCGTCGCAAGCGTCGATTGGGTTCTATTCAGGGTATCAATATAGATGACATCAATCTCAAGGTCGCGGACGGAACAGTACCTCGCAGGGCATCGGCCCTACCAAGGCGGCCAACTTCCGAACGGTCCATGAGTCATGCACACCGCGCAGCTTTCTGGACAGATCTCTGCAGCCAGGACCGTTCGAGCGCACAGAATAGGCCTTCCCGACGCACCGCGATCTTTCCTCGTCCTCCCCATCAGGACGGCCGGTCGGAGGAATGGAGATGGGATATCATCAGCACGCATGACTCGCCGCTCCAAGATCACGCCGTCATCTAGGTCATGTGAACTACCTTTTTGAGCCAGTGATATACATTCTGGCAAATCCAGATCAAAAGGTGCTCCGGCAACGACGAAATCTATGCATGCTACAGGGATAGTAATCGGATCGTCTAGACTAAGGGCAGGACCTCGAGACAAACACTCGTGTCTTCTCATCTGCAGATAGAGGTCGGCACGACTAGTCATTTTGACTAGTCAGTAGTCACTCAGCAAGACATGACCATAGTCAGTAGTCAGTCACAATTACAGACTAAATTGCAACTGACTAGTCACCAATCAGTCATACAGGAGCGATTATGGTAATGGAACTATTTAGTCAGTCAGTCCCATGTTGTTGTTAGGCGTCGAGATGCACAAGTTGTTATAACAATTATTCGTGACATTTTTGTGCCAGACCTCAGCAACAAGACTGGCTCAAGACAACAGACAGTATCACAAATGACAAACGACTATATAGGAAAGTAGAAAATTCTTCGGCTAATAATGATAGAACTGAAATGAACCGAATTGACATACTACTGAAGAAAGCTTATGATCTGGCACATCGACTAACTTGTTCACGTCGATACCTGCAACAAAAGATGTAAAAAGTTCAGCAGTCTCTCCGTAACAGGAAATCTCAACAAAGTCACCTCAAAAATCATCTTGTTCGAGTAATCCCTGTTGGTACCACATTCTCAATGAGGTTTGCTTGACTAGCATCCTTGCCGATAAGGATCCTCTTCTTCTGCCAAGAACATGCCCCGACTGTGAGAATAGCCGCTCTACACTAGCTGAAGATGATGCCAGCCCAAGGATGTCTTTAGCGAATAGTGCAAGTGGACGTAATTCCTCTTCTTGATGCATTCGCTTCCAGTATTCCAAGACTGGCTCATTCTCTCTAGTCTGAAATCGCCGTGAGCCTGAATTGTAGTGTTCCCATGGATCATTGGCCTCGATGGTCACCACATCTCTGCTGGGTTGGTGCTTTGCCGATGCAAACCGATTGATCCTCTTTGATACCGGCACACACATCACCTCAGGCTCCCCAGTGTTTTGGAACTGGGCCGATGTGTGCTTCTTGATTCCAGCCTTGATCCAATCGAGTATCTGACGGAACCTTGCGGAAGTACCACACTCCCGTAACAGAGTGTCCAGACCCTCTTCCCGGTTGGAAGGGTCCAATGCAAATGCTGTACAGACCCAATTGTTTTCCAAGAAGGCGTCAAGGTACTTGCGTAGCTTTGCCACAGCTCTGTCCGATGACAATTTCCGGTCGGCAGATATCCTGGGGTGATCATGTATCCGATTTAACTCAGAGATAGCTTCATGCAGGTCGGGTAGAATACGATAAGCATGTGCTCCCACCTCCGAGTAGACTTGGGTCAAGTTGAGGAAAACCTTGAGTGACGGCTGAATGGCTCTGACTGCAAAAAATGTTGCTTCATAGAACCGAGGGCATTTCTTGTTGGATGAATACCGCAAGGTAAAAGCCTCTACTGTCGCTCGAAGATATAGAATCCTCTGGATGGCTGCTTCCTTTGAGTTCCAACGGGTCACAACATCTTTAAGTGGTAGGAGCCCAGCTGATGTTTCAGGGTGTTTGCTGAGACGAACTTTTTCAAAGTCATCCATACGGCCAGGAGTTGCATGCACAAATACCCCAAGTTGATGCACCATCTGGATTGGAGACAGAGAGTGGTCGTCCTTCAATGCAAACCAAACATTGGTCTAGGTCAATTTTGATTGTATCGTGCAGTATACTGCGATTATGACATACCTCAGCAGGATCCTCATTCTCCTCATAGTCGCCGTTGACTAGAGTCTCCAGAATTTCTCCTGAGGTTTCTGTTGCATCTGGCAGAAACTCTGATCCGTCCGCTGCAGTACTGAGGTCTGTGTCCCAGAATGCCGACTCTCCCAGAACCCTGATGGATGGGACGTTCTCGCTGTTATAGGCATATGCTGTCAAGTTCAGACTGGCTGAGATTGAAGACACGTCACTCAGCATGTGAATCAAGATAAGAAAATATCCAGGACGTACCTTCTCCCTCGATGTATGCCAAGGCCGCCAAGTTTGCAATGTGACACATACATCCTACCATCTCCGATCCAGGCTGACTGATGTCATGATGAGATTGTAACAACTCAGAGATACGCTCAGCACCAGCTCTGTTGTTGGATGCATTGTCCCCAGTACCGGGTCCAAGCTTGGTAGAGATCCCGATGACATCACTGAATAGGTTGAACAAGGCGTCTCCCATACGTTGTCCCGTGTGGGCACCTTTCATCGGTATGAGACGGAGTAGTTGTTCCCGATATTCAAACCCTTCGTCCACAAAGGACACAAAGATCCCAAAGTAGCAATGTTTGCGGGCGCTGTCGGTCCAAGCGTCATGGGTGTAATGAATAGTAGAAGGTTGCCGAACCAATGTACCATCAAGGCGGTCCCTGACAGTAGTGTAGCTTTCCTCGAGCCTCCTGACTAGAGTACGTGCAGATTGAAGCTTGGCTTCGGGGTTGGCCAGGGCGAATGTCTCTTGGAGTTCTTCATTTTCAATTGTTGTGAATGGTAATCCGGTGACAACAATCCATTTCGTCACAGCGTGCTGGAACTTGGTGGAAGAGAAAGGTTGGATAACTTTGCCAGAGCTTTTGTCGAGAGTTGTTTGCACATCTTTGTCTGGCACATCGCAACAGATCCCAGGCCAATCCAGGAGCTTGGCCTGCTTCAACCCCGAACAGCTGTTTCGCTGATGCTGAAGAAAATTCGATGTGCCTCGTCCGCGGACTTCACGGCCACAAGCCTTGCAAATGCAAGTGGAGTTGCCCTTTGTATCTTTGTGTTGAAGCTTATAGTAGAGCCAGATTGCGCTACGCTTTGACGCAGACCTTGGTGTGCCTAGTACTGAATTATCAGTACTAGGTCCAGCTTCCGAGTAGATAGAACTCTGGGAGAGATTGATACTGGATGCCGAATTGAGCGATGCTGCCCTGAACAACTGTGTTGTATGTTTGGATCGTTCCGCTTCCAGTCGATCTCCTTTCCTTTTCTTTCCTTGCGAAATTTGAGCAGGAGGGACGACACTCCCAGTGGTTTCCGACACAAAGAGGGGGTCATCAGAGCCATTACTGAAGGCGATAGCGTCTTCCACTGATCCAGCTGCCACCTGTAAGAGCATGTTCAGAGGGATATATTGCATGCCGACACAAGACTGACTGGCTTACACTCTTTCCCTTCCACTGCTTCATTCTCTGCCTTGGCAATAAATTAGATCCTACGACAAGATCTTCATCCTCTGACAGATCTGTCTCAGACGCATCCTCGATGGATTGTTGATTGTGAGGTGGAAAGCTTTTATCCTTGTGAACCTGGAAGTTATCGGCACCTGAGCTTGGGGCAATGATTGAGCGAACCAATGTAGGCGCTTTGCCAGTTGTTTCGGTGGGAATGGTTCGAGGGAAAGGTTGACCATTCACATCTAGCCCCCTAGTTGGGGATCGAGATGATGTACGGCGGTTGGGGTAGGGGACATGGAGTGAATGTTCCGTTGGTATCACAGGTCCAATGGCATGGCTATACAACAAGGTCACTTTCGGTCAGCTGTAGCAAGCATCGTTGTGACGTGATTCGTCCTTACATTCGTTTCAGTTCAGCAAGAAGCCTCTCGACCCAGAGATCAAGTACAGCCAATTGTCCATGCTCTAATTTCTTGAGCCTGACGTATTCCTGTCTGAAGTCCCGTAACAGGAGATTCAACTGATCCCCTCCCACCCATATCTCCCATCCAGCCACACCTCGCATTCCAAAAGCCCTTTCCATTGCCCTGTTGACCACCTCGACTGAATCCTCTAGCTTGACATCCGTCCAGTCGAAATGAAGCATATAGGATGGTGTTGGACTGTCGTAACTGCCAGTCGGACAGCCTTTACCTAGCCATTGATCCAGTCTTGGTAGGCAATCTTTCGGAAGGCTTGCAGCCCAGGTGATGATAAGATCGTAGTCCGGGGCATGTTGGTCATCCACATGACGGGCAAGAATGTTGTTTCTAATTATCTGGGACAT